TATGTGGTCGTGGTGTGTTACACATCATGTATTAAGGCATTCGTTATGTGTCACACATCACTCGTCGCTTGGCTCAGACAAAGCGGGCCAATTTGGGCCATAATGGAGAGCCCATATCTCCGCTTCCAGTGAAGAAAATTGAAATCTGAAAGTGGGGGCGAAGAGGCCGTGATCTTGGTTCACGGCATACGTGAGCTTAGCGCTGGTTCCGATGTAAAACGCACTGCAAAATGCGCGCGCAAATACCTCCTTCGGGGAGGCCATCTTGGTTTTTGTATTGAACGGGTGGCTCGCTTTATGCGGTGGCTCGTTCTATGCTCCCCACGGATAATCAAACATATGTTTGTTTAATACTAAATCCAAGTTTATTTGGGGGCTTCCACATGCAGCAACCTCATGCAATTTTTGGTTCTAGGCCACACAATTAAACCAAATGACCAGCTTCAGTGAATAGATCGCTGCAAGAATATACGAATCCGTGCTTATTACGTCTCCTAACCCCAATAGGCCCCAGATTAAGGACAAATAAAAGGACCAAAAGTTAGAGGCTTATGCTGGTATTGATTTTGCGAGATACACAGTACTATTGCAATGACCAGAAAGCCCTTGATTCGTTCTACAAGGGAGGGGCTTGCACACTGTCCTCTGTTGTCCATCATGATAAAAATGCAGATTGAAAAGTGTCATATATAACATATCACATTTCGGTTTTTGTCCTTGCTTCTAGGTCAAAAATCGCACATTGACTTGATTTCATTATGTGGATCCAGACGTAACACCTCTCACACAGTCTATGAACTTGTTACAAATGACACCTCGTACTTACCCGGGCGTGATTACACTCAATACAAACGCCAAGTCTATTTTGGTCCTTTTCTGCGGTTTGAGAACAAAACCCCGGAAAGTACATCGTACTTAAGCGAATTTTTGTCCTTAAGAGCGTGTTGGCTAGGTAGCTGGAGATGGAGATGGCCTCTTATCAACTCTATTTCTTGTCTTTTGATTGGTCAAAATAGTTTAGTTCACAACGTGACAACTGGAGAATTACCCCGTCTCCTTCTCCAGCTCTAGGAGCTGGAGAAGGAGAAAGTAGCTGGAGATTGAGGCAGTTCAGCCGCACAGACAATGGACGAAGAGGAAGCTGTACTGGTTGAGAATCCGACGATGCGCCGCGAGGCCCTAAGGAACAGATTCGTACCGTGACCTCACTGCACTTTGAGCCCATGCTACAGTCAGCCGCGTATGCAAGTTGGTTTGAAGACAATCTTCGCTGCACCAAGCCGACTTTCCTACGGACTGCTGGTTTACTACGAGATCAAGGTGTTCTGTTTGCTGCTGCCAAAGTACGGCAGCATAGCTTTGAGAAGAAAGTTGCAGCCGCGCTTTACTTTTTAGGCTCAACTGGTGGGTACCGAGAGGTCGGTGGTTCTATGGGTATGTCACGGAGCTACGTAATGGAGATTACGACCGAGGTGGTGCGCGTCTTACGAGCAATGGCGGCGGCTGTCATTTCGTTTCCACGGAGGAGAGAGGACTGGGATGCGATCGAGTCAGGTTTCGCTGCGCGTCATGGCTATCCTGGTGTGGTGGTCGCAACTGGCTGACGGAAACGGAGGCGCAGCTTTCGTAGCGTCATCGGCAGCTTGGTCTTGCCACGAGTCCGGTGTCTCGGGCACAGTATTCCCGGCCGACGAAGAAACAGCAAAGTAAGGAGAAGGAGAGCGAGTCGTTGTAGTTGCACTGTGATTGGCTAATTTTACCTAGATGCGCTCTGTTGTAGCGAACAAGCTAGTTTGGAGATGCACCAACTCCCTGCAGATATCCATCTCCAGCTGCGTAGCGAACACGCTCTAAATCAAGGACAAAAAATGTTGGGGCTAACGCAAATGTGTTCATATACAGCTTGGCTCAAGATTAGCGAACATATGTATTTTACATACAAACATGCAGTGTAAGTGTAGTGCACCACTAGAGGCAGCAGTGTCCCACAATCGTGTTCGTGAAATTAGCGCTTTTTCAGATGCAGCATTCTACTGTTTTCACGTGAAGAACAAGCAAAAGAACAGTACCGGCAAACTACATTTTCCTTCTACTTTCTAAAGATGTCGTTTGTGCACCGCAAATCGTTCAGCAAAGTTACTTTTGGTGTCCCTCTCCAACTGTCCCGTAACTCTGGCAGAACGATAATACCACGCGACAATGCTGCGGCTGCTTCGCAGCCGCAGCATCTGGCCGGTAATACAGGATAGTTCAGTGGGAAATGATGCAGTCCTGTTTACTTTTAAAAACTTGCAAACAATTATTTTGCTCTTCAGAAGTTTTTGCACTCTCGCTAATTGCGATTTCGATGTCTCCTGAACGTTACCTGTAACTGGGAATGCATTTCGTGACGAACTAAGGGTTGTGAGGCTGGTACATGTAAGCCAGCAAGCTGGTCTCCCAGGATACATGCTCTAGCTAGATGAAGCAGCTATGAGCAGATAGTATTTCAAACACGCACCGTTATGGATCAATCAGGAACCGGACGATGTCATCCGATACTTTCACTTCGCTCCTTGAGCTCAGGACGTCAGAGAGCATGTCTGTGTTTTCAAGGTAATATAGTTAGTTTAAATTACTTGCTCTTGTACTGTAGATGGACGAGCTGTCACACGCTGCCACACCAGAGCGGCAAATAGTTTTCATATATGCTGTCGTTTGAGAGGCCGACCGTCGGCCTAACGGCTACACGATTAGCTGACGTTCCTTAAGTTGACGATGTCGGCGTCGGCACTAGTTCCGGGGTCGGCTCGCAGCTGCTGGGGCACATATCGGTGAGCTACGGCAACAAGCGTAAGCTAAGAACATCGCTCATCAGCGACGTGGTGCCGAAGACCGGCGAGCAGCGCTGATCTCGGCAACGATTCCTCGCAGCACTCGTGTCCAAATGCGACGAATACGGAATTTTCGAAATGCTCTCCATCACTCTCGAGCTTGTCTCGGACTTGAGATTGATGGAGAGCAATATTCAGTTAACTTCAGTTACCGGGGCCAGGTTTTCGGCGTCAGTAATACCGGCTTCAATTACCGAGGTGCCGCCTAATTAATCTGTGTTGGGCTGGACACAGCACTCCCTCCGGGGTTACTGCTATCCCAGAATAAAAGTGAATTTGACTTCAATCCTGACTTTAGGCGGCGCATTGCTTGCTGTTATTCTTCGCGCGTCAATTCTATTTGACGACTCTTATTATCACTCTATTCTGCAAAGCCAACTACAGCACTTCCCTTCGAGCAGTTTGGGCTCTCTCGATTACTATCTCGCTGTGTCTTGACTAACTGAAAACAATGACTTTGAAAAACGACCCGAAACCAAACAAAACTACCATACGAGCCAACTTGGGCTGACTGTGTCTTAGCCGATGATAGGATCAATTTTAACCGATGCGAGTGTTGCCAACAAGCATCTCCAACAACCACCATTATAACGCTGTCGTGTAGGAAAACACGAGTTTACGAGTCCTCGCCCTGTCAACCGAAGTCTCTAGGACGAGCCCTACCAACAACACACGCCGTCTCCGAAGATTCGGCGATAGATTGTCGGGATAATAAACCTGAAGACCAGGTCCGATCCCTTATACGGGCTGGAATGTGCCTCCCTGTGTGTTGCGGGTCAGGTAGGTTTACCCATCGTTAAAATATAAGAGCACCCTTAGCCACGAGCTACGGTTAGGATGCAATGTGTAATACGTGCTTTCGCACTAAACCTCTGTGGTCCCTCAGAAAGGAAGGGTACCAGGCCAATCGAAGCCTCGGCTAGAAGTCAAATACACTGGGGGCCCCTGCCTCACACCCAGTCCAACGTTCAACTGTACACAGAGGTCTCTAATACCTCCCAACACTCGGCCACCTACTCACTCTTGGCCTTACCAGGATGAACACTCGGTCAATGCACCTTATGCTCACCGGCAGACATACCCCGTGCAGCCGAGTGTATCCAGACCCTACGCTAAGCTTAGCGACTTACCGTAGACGGACTTGACCCTTGTGTGGCTTGGGGGAAAATTCTGCTCTGTTTAATGATTAGAGGCTGTCAGGCCTCTCCTATAGCTAATCCCTAAGGTCTATACAAATATCAAGTGTGGACCGAGCTTTCGAGCTGATCCTACAATCGGACGAAGCTTCGTCCTAAATCCGAACTCCAACTGGGCATAAAGTGTACCCACTATGAAACTTCGGAGGCCTCGGCAGGCGGTTTATTTTGACCCGCCGAGACCCTGTCACTCCGTAGTCTCTATCAATCTTCTGGGCACTAAAGCGCGGGGAATGTGACCGACCAATCAGAGCCCTCGGTCAGCCATCTCTCGCAAGCTCAAGGCAGTTAGACCTCGGCCGGAACTCGCCCGGCCGCAGTCATTTCCCGATCTCAGAGCGGCCCCCAAATCGGCCCGAGCCGTCCCAAGTGGTGAGTGCCGTGTTGCCTTCGTGCCTCTCTGCGCTCCGACGCCATGCAGTCCTCCGGCGGTCCTGGCAGCGCGCCGCCCTTCACTTTCCCGGACCTCGGTCCAGTCGTCCAGGTGAGGCTTCGTGCGAGGTGCTTGAGTGCTGTGCTTGATCTCTTCATCGCGTCTAACCGTCTTCAACTTGCTGCAACTTGCTGCAGGACACTCAATTGCGTGGCCCCACGGGGCAGGTCATCGACTCGTCGGCGCCGGCCTCGGAGGCCTCGGTGGTGCCAACTCCCGCCTCTGCGTCAGCAAGCGGGGCGCCCCGACGGCCCAGGCTTCGGCTGCAGTTCTTGTAGCTTCAGCGCCATCGTCTGGTGCTGCTGGCAGCGCCGGAGCTGCTCCGTCACCAACTCCCGCCTCTGCAGGAGCACGCGGGGTGGCGGGCGGTCTCCAGGCCGCACCTTCGGTCGTCGCGCACCATGCTTCGGCTGCAAGCACCGGAGAGACCTCGGCTTCGAGTGCAGTGGCTTCGACGTTGCCAACTCCCGCTTTGCCGTCCGCTAGCGGGGCTTCGTCGGACCCTGCGTGTACTCAGCTGGTCCCCAGGTCCTCGCCCGACTCCAGTCCTCTGCACGAGCCTTCGTTAAATGCTGCGCGCTTCTGCTGCACGGGTGACCCGCTGCCTGCAACTGCGCACGAGGCCTCGGGACTTCCTCCGCGTTCTTCTGCACAGTGGTATGCTGTCGAAGACATCGTCCACCACGAGGTGCAGGCTGCGGTCGAAGAGCTTCGCGAGCACTCGGAACGACGCTTCGCAAACTGCGCTCAGCTGATGGTCGGCTTGGTGCGTCACCGATGTGCCGTCCGAGCACCCGTACAACACAACCTTCGCTCCGTGAAACCCCAGGGTTCCACTCTTCGTCCCGCGTGGCATGACCGTTCGTGAAGTCGCGACAGCTATTACGGTCAACCCAGTGCTGGACCCTCGCCGTGTTACGGCTCCGTGGGTGCGTGAGTTCACGAACTTTCACGGGTCTCCTTTCGGTATACAGGAGGACGGGCAGCCAGGTGAAGACAAAGTCTCGGAAGAGGAGGAGGTCGAGGAGCTGATCGAAGAGATCGCGTCTCCGGTTGCTGAAGAGTCTTCGGAAGAGGCTCAGGACGAGTCTCGCCGCGCCGTGGATGCTCAAGAGACTTCGGACGAAGCTACACAAGCGCTAGGAGCTCAAGATGCAGCAACGTCAACGCAGGACTCGGTTCAAGATCGCGTCGCGGCTTCGGAGGCCCCTGTTGAAGAGGCCCCGGCCAGCGAAACTCCGGCTGACGCGCCACGTTCGCCTCCAAGTGCTGCTGATCAAGCTGCCACGCAGGCCGAAGCTTCTCCGGCTGCGCGTCTCCGCGTTTTGGCCAAGGTTGCCTCGTCTTCGGACGCCTAAGCTTCGTTCCAGTTCTCCATCGTTCCTTCATGTTTAGGTCGAGCTAGATCAGGGTATTCAGACAGTTCGTTCGTAGTATAACTAGCTCGCCCATGCAATTCAGTAGTCGTTTGTCCTTCTTCAGCTGTTCTCCACAGTTTCTCCAGCCGTGATCTCCACTTCGTAAAGTCGTGTCCACTTCAACATACAAATATACAATCTTCTTTCCGCAGTAACATGTTTCGTCTGCTGGGGCAGGCTGTGTAGCCCTGTCGGCAGTTCATCATGGTGAGAGGGATGCAACTAGTCCTCGTCAGCGACTTGGACCATTTGCAACCTTCGGTCACGTCGTTTCTCGCGTAGATAGTCATACAGCAGTCCGCCACAAGACAGATTCGACGCGGGCTCCCACGAGGGTTCGTCATAGCCGACCCACTTCACCTTGAACTCTCGGACGGCTCGCTCAGTGCTCGTCGAGAGGGGGATTCGGTCATCCAAGATGGCTTCAACCTCATACTCGCCTGCCAGGTGGTCGGGTTCCCAACTATCCTCCGGGAGTAACTCCTCGTCGAAATCCAGTCGCGTCTCCTCGGTTACTTCAGCAGCAAGTCGAGCCTTCGGCCGATCGCCAAACTTGTTCACCGCCTTCAACCGGGACACATGCACTACCGGGTAGAACCGGTAACCACTCTTGTCAGGCAGATCCAACTCGTACGCATACTCGTCAACCTTCTGCTTGATGCGGAAGGGACCATGCCATCGATGAGCCAACTTCTTGGTCAATCCTGGCTTGACGCGTTCCATGTAAAGCCACGCACGATCACCAGGCTGGAAGAGAGACTTCGGTGCGGGGTCTGGTGTGTCACCCTCACCATCTGCACCTGTCGGATCATCTTCCGAGGTTTCGCCAGTCGCGGAAGGTGGAAGCGCAGCACGTTCTGCTCGGCTCAAAGCCTCGTTATGCTTTTGAGCACGCCGAGCTTTCTCGACTGCTTGGTACTCCTTAGCCATTTCCAACGCAACTTCCTGCTGCCTGTTGACTTCTCGGCGCCATGCCAACGTATCGGACTGTCGCCCGACACCTCGCTTCAGTAAGGAGGACATTGCCCGGAGGGTGGACCTTGCGTCCCATCCGTGCACGAAGTAAAAGGGCGTGTCCTTCCTAGTGGTGTCCTGCGAGTTGTTAATCGCAAAGATCAACTTCTCCAAAATCTCATCCCAGTCTTGTTGCAGCGGGTCCTCCGCGTACACTTGCACCGATTGCATTACGGTCTTGACTGAGCGTTCCTGCTGGCCGTTAGCCTGCGGTCGATAGCTCAACGTAGCCCTAGATCTCGACTGCATCATCTCGGCGAAGGTTTGGAAGACCTCGCTCATGAAGCGCGGGTCTCGGCCATGCCTGATCAGAGACGGCGCTCCGAACCTTCGGTACACGCTCTCTTCGAATGCTTGTGCTACACAGAGTGCAGATGTGTCCGCCATCGCCTTGCCCATGACGAATCCAGTGAACGCACACTGAAACAGTAGCAGTGCGGTATTGCCCCGCCGAGTCTTCGGTAGGGGTATCACAAAATCCATCGAGACAATTTGTAGCGGACACTCGGCCAGAATGTTGCCTGGGGAGTACCCACGTAGCTGCGGGCGACTCTTGCTTGAGCTATAGTCTAGACACGAGCGTACGTGTTTCTCCACATCGGCGAACCAATCCAATAGTAGTCAGCCTTGACTCGGTGGTAGGTTCGGACGATACCTTGGTGACCGCCCTCCAACGAGTCATGACAGTTCTGTAGGATCTCCTGAACCATCGTTGTTGGCACCACTAGGCGTAGTGTCGTCTTCTCGGCCCGGTCGCGACCCCACCGACGGTTCGCACCGAGGAAATACAGCAAACCATCTTCGCTTAACACGAACTTGTCAGCCATCTTCCAGGCTTCGCGTGCAGCTTTGTAGGCAAGCTTCGCTTCGTCTCCCTTTAGCACCGTCTTGAGGTTTGACCACCGGAGCTCCTCATCCTAGGCTGTGCCAATGCGCCTGCGCCGTTCTTCCTGCACAACTAGCGGGTCGATGTCGTCAGCACTCGGTTCATGGACCACCGTTGCGTCAGGTCTCGGTTGGTCCGGAAGTTCGTTAGACTCTTCGTTGCTGACATCGTTAGCTTCGTCTCCTTCTGTTCTCTCTTCTGGTTCATCACCCGAAGTCTCATCGGCAAAGCGTACTTGTTTCGCACGCGCGCGGGATTGTTGCCTCGTTACCGCGGCCACATGCCCAGTATCTCGAACAAAATCGAAAAAATTCCTACTACGGTCACTGCCACACGTATCCATCACACGTATCGAGTTCACGTGACGCGTTACAACTTCTCCCGAAGCTTCAGAGGCTTCGGCTGACGGTTCATAGAGCACTTCTCGGATCCGATTTAATTCCATCAACTCTCGTTTCCGGTCTTCGCTGTTCACCGTCATCGACATTTTCTTCTCCAAGGTTTCGCTCGCCAAAGAGTCTGCAGCTGCATTGAACGCTCGGATAGCATGTAGGTACTTCACGGACCGAAGTCTCGCGGTCAGTTCCTTGTGCTTGTTTAGTTGTGCCATCAGCGACTCCTTACGGCAAGCGATCACCCCTAGGGATTGCTGGATTGCGAGTCACGAGTCCCCGACGATGACTAAGTCCTCGGCCCCATGTTCTAGGGCGGCAGAGACCTTATCGAAAGACTCGCCGCCAAAGCAAATATCGTCAACAAACAAACGCCGTTCGAAAACCGGCACCGACGAAGACTCGTCGGGCTCTCCATTCGCAAACATGTCCGCAATAGGACTGTTGATTAATTCCGAGACCGAGCTTTCACTCAATCCGATTCCAAGTCCCGCTTCAAACTTCGTAGGCGACTGGTCCGGGTTGGACGACTCTTCATGTGACTGTTCGGTCGAGGCGTTGGCGAGTTCACGGTCGCGAACTTCAGCTTCGGCCATCAGACGCGCGTAATGCTACCTGCCACACCTCGGCTGGACAAAGCCCCACAGAGCGTTGTCGAGAATTCGTTGGTAGATCATAGGTGCATTTTTAAGCCCAAAAGGCATTCTGAGCCACTAACTGCCATATCCACTCGCTCGACTCCACCATCTGCTCGAGCATTCTGCCGAGCACCTTGTTCGCAGCTGGAGTGCTGCTGTTCATAGCGGGCCGACTTCCGCGGGATTCTTGAGGACCCTTAGTAACCTGCACCAGAGCCCTCGAAGCCGATGTCTCGGTGCCATCCTAAAAGTCGTCATCCGCATGGTCGGGTTTCGCCACTTCATCAAATTCCGCGACGAGGTTCCGGGACAAGGAGCGCGAGCCTCCGCTACGTCCCACGGACAGCATCGCATCTTCTTCATCTCCGAACTCCTGCGTCGTCGCTGGAGTCTTCTCCTCCAGGTCACCATAGTCCATCATCATGTCATCCTTGGCGTCCGAATCTTGGTCAACCGACTCTTCGAAACTGACCGACCTTTCGGAGATCGTCGACAACCGAGACGTTAAGTCACTCGCGATCGTTGACGAACCTTCGGCCGATCCTCGTCCCGACTTCACCGGCGTAGCTGGTACCGCTGACTTGGATCCTTTCGCCATCTTGTTCTAGTTCTTGTTTCTTCTTCTCTTCTTCACTTCTTCTCTCCTCAATGCTCGTTGGGCAAAACCTACACAGACCACAACACACAATCGGTCACACCAGTCCCGGGTCGCGGCACCAGTTGTCGTGTAGGAAAACACGAGTTTACGAGTCCTCGCCCTGTCAACCGAAGTCTCTAGGACGAGCCCTACCAACAACACACGCCGTCTCCGAAGATTCGGCGATAGATTGTCGGGATAATAAACCTGAAGACCAGGTCCGATCCCTTATACGGGCTGGAATGTGCCTCCCTGTGTGTTGCGGGTCAGGTAGGTTTACCCATCGTTAAAATATAAGAGCACCCTTAGCCACGAGCTACGGTTAGGATGCAATGTGTAATACGTGCTTTCGCACTAAACCTCTGTGGTCCCTCAGAAAGGAAGGGTACCAGGCCAATCGAAGCCTCGGCTAGAAGTCAAATACACTGGGGGCCCCTGCCTCACACCCAGTCCAACGTTCAACTGTACACAGAGGTCTCTAATACCTCCCAACACTCGGCCACCTACTCACTCTTGGCCTTACCAGGATGAACACTCGGTCAATGCACCTTATGCTCACCGGCAGACATACCCCGTGCAGCCGAGTGTATCCAGACCCTACGCTAAGCTTAGCGACTTACCGTAGACGGACTTGACCCTTGTGTGGCTTGGGGGAAAATTCTGCTCTGTTTAATGATTAGAGGCTGTCAGGCCTCTCCTATAGCTAATCCCTAAGGTCTATACAAATATCAAGTGTGGACCGAGCTTTCGAGCTGATCCTACAATCGGACGAAGCTTCGTCCTAAATCCGAACTCCTACTGGGCATAAAGTGTACCCACTATGAAACTTCGGAGGCCTCGGCAGGCGGTTTATTTTGACCCGCCGAGACCCTGTCACTCCGTAGTCTCTATCAATCTTCTGGGCACTAAAGCGCGGGGAATGTGACCGACCAATCAGAGCCCTCGGTCAGCCATCTCTCGCAAGCTCAAGGCAGTTAGACCTCGGCCGGAACTCGCCCGGCCGCAGTCATTTCCCGATCTCACAACGCACCATACCCAATATGACATTAACCGATCATCGAATCCTGATATGTCAAGCTTTAATGAAACGAATAGCACCCAACCACTTTTCACCCGTTGGGGTCTGTCCGTTGTTTGAGTTCACACAGCATAGGTTCACTTGCAATTTGGCACTGCAGCAACAAGTCTCCATGAACCACAAATCCTACGCCTTTCCACGATGATCACAAGCACTACAGCAACCTCTATTAATGTCCTCGACGATGCTACGTTCTCCATCCCTGTAACGCGTGGGCTGATCCGAGGTGGTTAGAGCACCTTTAATGCGACAGCACAACAGCACCGAGGGGGGTGTTTCAGCACCGAAAGAATCGGCTGTAGCGCCTACACTTAAGTGAACACCACCACAGCAATACAAAAAAACACCGACATAGCAAATATAGCATATCCACGGATGGAATAGGAGTTCGCCATCATACTCACGTGTAATAACACCGACAGGAAGGGGTTCAAGCACGTATATTCGTTGCCTATGTACACATAGAGAAGTGATCGACTAGCTCATCAGATTCGACGCGATTGCCACCACGCATCAATCCCTCTGCGCTTTAAGCGCTCAGTACGGCAAATCCGCATGACCGACGGGGGTACGGCGGTAATTTGGCCAAGCTCGAGGACCCGACAGTCCCCGGGCGATGTGGCCGTAACAAACTGCTGCAACACCTCCCTATCATGAAAACCAACTTCCGCCGTCACGCGCTAGAGTATCTTAATCATCTCACCCGCGTTCACACGTCGCTTGTCGTGCAGACTGTGAACACCTTGGCGGGCGTCTCGACATTTGACGAGGATCCGTTTAACGACTGAACGGGGATGTGGTCGAGGACGTCCACGAACTTGTCATGTAGGAGCGTCGTCACACAGACTAAAGCGGGATCAAGCCGCACCTGAGCGTCATCGTGTAGACAATCCTGCGCGCATACATGGCCTGGAATAAACAATAGATGAGAATGGTCAGGCGAACATCGAGGTCACACTTGTAAGGTTGGCCGTCAGTAAAACTTTAACATGAATTTTAGTGAATATCAATGCAACGGTATATTGAGAGATAAGTAGAATGAATAAAAGATGCGAGCAAGCATAATTCCTCTAACGCTTAGCGATAGTTGTTCGTGCTCGCTTATCATTTTGTAAGCGAGACTCAATCGATCGCTTCGTTGGTTTTGGTGCGCGACGAGAGCGACGAACGCCGACCTGCACATTTGTGTTCATAGGGTCCTCCGATGTAGTGCTGCGCCCACCACCACGTGGACGCTCGACTCGGTCTGCCAATTCGACAACAGGACAAATAGTAAGCCCGCTTCGGACGTTTTCGGGCTCACGGTCGTCCTGAGAGAGCTGGACCAAAAGTTGAATTGGGGCTGCTGGAAGAGATAGCTGAGTACTCGTACATGGCAATCCGACACCGCATCCTGCGTACTGTCGTCATCACGCCCATCGTTCTGTTCTACCTGCTGTAGAGCAGGGGCCGGTTCGCGATAAATAGTTTGCAGAAGCTGCCGTTCAGTATCGGGTTCAATCGTACTGCTGCCTGCAACCTGATCCTGTTCTTGGATTTGTTGCAGTCCTTGGACGCGAGTAGTGGGGGTATCTTCGGCGGGATCCGCTCTGACACCATCCAGAGCATTCGCGTCAACTACAGCTGCAGATTCCACGCGCATCTGATCTGCGCGATGACGCGGGTGCACGAACTGCCTGCCATTGTTGCCTACGCCTGGCATATGCACGCCTGCATGGATACACGCTGCAGCAAGATGACAACAGGCACCGTTTTTCTCGAAATATGGGCAAGGGCAAGCCTTGCTGCGGACATCAATAACCCAGCCCGCAGCGGGCATGCCTTCGAGTTGCTTGCGCCTTGTATTGGCGGATTTAATTGACTGCTTCACCGACTTCTTCTCTGTGGCGGTTAGAGCCAAAGGCCGATGCAGGACGCGGTACAAATCGGCCTGGACAGTCCCAATCGGAGGCAGACGCTCTACGGAAATGCAACCTCGGCGGCACAAAAGCCTGTACAGGAGCATGAGCCTTTCTGAGGCTGTAGGAAAATTGCAAAAAAACACATTTCGATGCAGAAAAGCAAGCCGCGCACCATTAAGACTCTTGATCAATTCATCGGGCGTATGCTCATTGCTTGGGCACTCCAGTTTCAAACGCCGATGATACTGCTCAAGCGGTTTATTGGTCGCAGCATATCCTCGCGGGGTGTAGAACGCCTGCCATTTAGCAAAGCGCTGGGTCTCAATCCACTGCTTTGTCACATGGTCTGTAAGTTTGCGTACGGCAGATCCTGCAGCTAGTCCCATCCACCTCCCCAAAACCCGCGCTTTTACAGCTTCAAAATCCGGCCGCAGTGCATAGTGCATGTCATAGAGATCTTCAAACACAGCTGCCGTGTCGTCGTAGGAGACGCGGAACTCCGCTGCGTACTTCCACACGTTCTTAGTGACATGGAACCAACACATTAGAACGGTAGAATGGGGCAGCTCGGTCACGGATGCATTGAATTGGGCTTTGTCAGCGTCCATCATCACGTACTGAGGGGCAAAAGGTACATTGCCGATATCCACACAGACCCGTTTAATGTAGCGAAGACACCAACCGATATCCAGCTTCCGCTTCTGGGATGTACAGAAGTAGGCTAGCGGCACAAAGTGGCAACTTTGATCCGAGTAGCCACATGCAAAGACCGAGTAGCCATGGATGGCCATGCTATGGATACTATCGAGGTGCAGAATCGTTGTACAGTCACCGCGATTCTGTACCGAGATGTAATCGCGGATTTGCCGAATGCACGTCATCCCAACACGAAACGGGAATGCCTCTGATCCATCTCCTAAGCGCGACACAATGCTTGTGCTTCCCGGTCGCGCATCCGGTTGCGTGTAAAGGATCATCATCTCAAACTCGTCTAATGTCGTTATATCTTGTTGCTCGTAGAGGTGGCCATTGCAAATCACGATTGTAGACGCCATTTCGTTCTTAGGATTTTTCCGTCTCCAATTTTTCACAAAGTCCACAACCTGCTGGTCTTCGGGCGGGGGCCCACGCATGTCACCTTCGTGCACCATGCTACAGATAACGGCAAACAAACGCGAAGCCGTCGTTTTCACACCCGAGCTGAGCTGCTCCACTATGAAGGTCTTCATCTCAGGCGTTAACTTGCGCACGATGGGGCTGGAGGACCCGTCGACGTCCGCCAGGTGGGCGTCGCGCTGAAAGACCTCCTGCACATCGGACGATTGGCAAATCTGGAACTTATATCGGCATGGACAGTCCCCCGGGGCATCAATGGCTGAGTCATTCTCGTCATCGTCTTCAGAGCGATGAGGATGGCATCGCCGCGATCGGCACTTTGTAGTCTGAACTCGCATCTTGTGCATGGCAGTAGCGAGAGCGTAGTTCTTGTTGAGTAGATGGTCGATTGTGCAGTTCGTACGGTCACTCCTCTTGATGCTTCGCCTAGGGAGGGTATCACGAAAGGCTTCAAACGTCTCAGAAGCGGTCGCCGATGCCCAGATCTTAGTCCACCTTGGTGATTCAACCTCATATGCGCTGTCGGAGACCCCAGGGTGTCGGCTGTGTTTTCTTCACGGCCCTCCATGGCAAGTTGCTAACTGCTAAAAGGTAGTGTCCCGTCGCCTACAAGTGGGTGGCTGCTCTATTTTAGTCGGTGTTTGTCATTATATTTTAGGTGGTGCTTCCTATTTATACAGTGGGTATCCCAACACAATTTCTAGGTGCTGCTACACTTTTTATGGTTGCACAAAACACTGAGTGATGGTGTGTTATCTCTCCACTCAACAGCACCGTTAATGGCGCCCAAGGCGCCATTAACGTAAAGCAGCTGGTTTTCAGGTAGGAGGGGAATATATAGACTGTTGCTTCAGCTTTCCAAAGTCCGAAACGAGTGCTAACTTTGACTCTACGCAGCACGTAAGCCTGCATCTGGACAAACTTTTGGTACTGCCTACTTCATAGAGGTATGTTAAAGCTATCGAACGCACTAGCTTGCATCGGCGGAGTGTAAGTAGGCACTTAGCAGGACCCCCGCCTCCTCAGGGACTCCTTCGGGGTGCCCATTTCCAAAGCCATCCTCACACTTTAAAGGCGCCGTAAAGTTAAGGGCGCCCTAGCAATCGGTGCAAAGTCTGTGTACAGAAGCAAATCTTTACACAGATCAGAATAATAAAGGATTTGTATTGACGGATTCATTGCCTTGAGCTAGTGCAATACAGACAATCATACGAATTAGACATCGTGTCTAGGTAAAAAAATATTGGTGAATATGCTGTTACCTTATCCTGGCATTGCTTACTTTTCACACCTACGCCACGCTGCTTGCCTAGCTCCTTCGCGACGGCAATCCACCCGCGGTGCATGGCATGCTTGTTGCGCACATTCTTAAAGCGCTTGGCCATCCCCTTGTATCTACGTAGATACAGTAATAAAATAGATGTTAAGCACCTTATCATCATGTAGTAGAAAGCCAAAGCGTACGCTTACCTGAGGTAGAACAGCGTCTCAACCAGTTCCGTCGTCCAGCACAGCGGCGGAAGATCCTCTTTGCGCTACTTCGCCTGTGCGCCTTTTGAGGGACGTGTTGAAGCTGGCGTCGTTGTTGCCGTAGCCACTAGCGAGGTTGATGGGGCCTCTTGGACCGAACTCTGCGTAGCCGTGGTCGCTGCTTGGGCGGTCGCTACAGAGACAGCATCGAGCGGGCTTGCCTGCTCGGTCGAGAGGGGGTTCGCTGCCGGCGAAGGCGTCAACTGCGTGAGAGGGATACTCGGTGTAGTAGCCGAACTGCGTAGCCAACTGGAGCTTTCAGAGAGGAGAAGGCTTGAGCCAATCTGCGGCGATAGAACATCACTCTCAGGGTCAGACACCGCGGCTGCCGGTGCAGGGATACGAAAGTCGACACATGGTCCTGCCACAGCGCAGTGGTGGTGAGGCTCCTGCGCCATCGTTGAGTTCGACGGGGTCATCGCTTAGAAAGATCTAGTAGAAGTGAAGTTCCCCGCAGACTCGGCGTCAGTGTTCTCGAACACCGACACGAGCGACCAGACCAACGGAGTAGGGTTAGGGGTATATGGAAGGCAAACACTTGACGATGGAAACAACCAGGTTAAAGGCGCCCATCCAATCTGTGCAAAATCGGTGTACAGAAGCAAAGCTAAACACAGATCAGAATAATGAAGGATTTGTATTGACGGATAGCAGCGGGACGGGTGTCATGGGCTCATTTGGTCGTGTTGTGAGCTGTTGTGAGTACACGTTGCCACAGCAAGCAAACCTGCGCGTAAAGCAGGTCTGCGCGATTTTGCGGAGGTAGATCCTGCACCAGGCATTCCAGCGGATGGACCCGTTGCCGCAACTCGGTGCTAGTTTTCTAATTGCGGGGATCTGCTCCAGTACACTGCAGCACCCCCTCTTTTTGGCTTAAAGGCGCCGAAAGGCTTAAAGGCGCTTTAGGCAAATGTTGTGCGGTCGCATTAAAGGTGCTGTAACGCGAGTCGGACTAATCTGCTCCGGCAACGAGCACGGCCCATTCGGCATCGCATGGCCTCGTCAAGGTGACATTGCGTCCGCCAACTGCCACTCGGAGCTGTGGTCTTTCAATGAGGACAGGTGCTTCGCCCCGGTCGATGCGAAGTGTGTTAAGGTGACAAGAGTGACGTGGGCTTGTGTTTCCTGGTAGCCCGCGGTTTCAACATTTATCGGGCGAATGAGGGCTCCGAACCACGATGACGCGTTGAAGGAGTTGATGGCGCCGCCAACAGTTATCATATCCCCGATAGTATCACCGACGAAGGCGTAGACAGTGATCTCCGCGAAAAGACCCGTTAAACTAGCACGAGCAAACTATCGATAACTGTGCTCATAAAACTAGGATATATTCGTTTGGGGGTAGAATACTAATGAAACTAGCTGATTCCGGCTTAAACCATGTCCTTCGGCGGCGTATCTTCATCTTTCTTGTTGTTGTCCTTGTCGTTGCTAGATGCAGACCTGAAGCTTGAGAATGTAATGGACCGACGCTTGTGTAGTGGCTTCTTGGGGTTGGCTTCTCGGGTGGCTGCTGGCAAACCCACCTCAATGTCATCCATACTGCGGCGCGAGCGTCGTCGAGAGACACTGCAAGGCAAAAACAACAGCAATCAGTTAGACTAGAAGAAAGACAATAGGCCAAGGCTCACCGACTTACCGGCTTGACATGCGTCGTCCGAGCAGCACACTCTCTCGCGCACTCTGGAAGCCAAGACCGCCAAGGATCTCCGAGATGCCCACAGTCGTGGACATGTCCAAGTAATTGTCGATTGCCTGGCGATTAACATGCTCCGAAGCTTCAGTTTCACTGCGCCGGTCGTGGCTGCTGTCCTCCGCGTCCGATTCTTCCGTTGTGCTTTCTTCGTTGAGGGCTTCCAGAATCGATGATAGAAACTCCCGAGGGATATCACTGCGGCTCGTCTCTTCCTGCTCGACAACGACTTCATGGGTGGCGAGGCCTTCTGGAACGCGCGTCAGGCGCGAATCGGAGCTCTTCGGGGGCTCCAACTTGGACGACTCCGACGGCGACGTGAAGCTGAAACCGCGCTCGATCTTGCCCTTGGTGGCTGTAGTCGCTGGCGCGTGCTTGCGACGCGACAGGAGAACGACGCCAAAGATGCTGACACCGATTCCCAGCACGAACATGACCGCTTGCAAGACTGAGAAGGTGCGGATCTCCTGGAAGTAGATGACGCCACCCAGCACACCACTAATGACCCAGTACGCCTGGTACACGGGCACCATCGAGAGTGCGTCATAGTGAACCAGTCCGCCATTCAGGTACTTGATCTGAAGACACAGACACACCACGAGTGCGAACGCGATGAGGTAAGTCTGGTAGTGCGCGAAGCAGCTCGCATCTCCGTTAAACACCCCTTTGAACAGCTCGGCCGTCGACTTGGCAAAGAGAACCGACTGGCCCCCCAGAGTTCCCGCCAGCCCAGCATACCCTACGAGACGAATAGTCGACCACATCCCAGGCGTCCCCACCTGAATAATGCGATGCCGTTTGCTCATCAAGCAGAAGGTATCGACGACCTTGATCGCAGAGAAGTGGGCGACAATCGTCAGAACCACAACGCAGAAGTAGACGATCGTGAGCGGGTCCCTGTAGAGCTGCATGAGCATGTCCAGATTGTACGATGGAGACGTGTGCGACGCGAAAACGACCGCGATCGTAGCCCCCACGAATATAATCAGCGTCGAGACGATGTCCTTCTTGGTGAGCTTCTCCTTGTTGAAGCAGGGCGCGAGCATCATGTTCCACACGAGCGTCAGCGCCGCCAACGGGGCCAACAGACTCTGCGGCGCCAGACCGAACGCCACGAAGTCCAGCACCGACCCCACCGCACACAGCACGAAGCCCAGCGTCCACAGCGGCAGTTGATAGGCCGGTTTGGGCTCCGGTCCGAGCTCGTTCTGCTTGAGCGCCTTCTTCTGCAGGTTGATGCCCACACTGGCCAGGAAGGAGAAGACCACTGCGATGGTGAAGCCGATGACCCAGATGGCCTTGTTGGGGCCGTCGTAGTCCGTGTCGAAGCACTTGCCCTCGTCACTAACTCCAGTCACAGGCTGGTTCTCGCTGCCACAGGCGTCGACCTGCAGGGCCGAGAGCTCCGAAGTCGACAATTGGGAGACGCAATTGGTCTCAAGCTCCTCCGTGCAGCTGTCGAGGCATAATGTCTCGGGGGTCCCCATCTCGCACGCGTTGAAGACTGCAAGGCACTGGGTCCGCTTCAACGCCGTCTCGCACGTGGCGTCCACCGTCGAGCCATTGGCTTTGAGGGCGGCGTACCGCTCCTGGGCACTGGCATCCTGCAGCATTGCATAATAATTTATTTTATCAGAAATAAGAGATACACATATTCTAGTGTGGTAATTTAACTACCGACCATGGTCTTCCAGGAGCCCCCGGAGCGGCAGGCCGGGAACACGACGAAGGCGCCACAGAAGCTCAGCGCCGACGCGTCGGGTATGTCGCAGCTGGAGCAGGTGGCGGCGGCTGGAGCCACGCACGAAGCGCAGGACGCCGCGAGCAGCCACAGCAGCCGCTGCGACTTCATGGTGGGCACTTGCTTGTAGGACCGACACCGCGGTGGAATGCAGGGAAGTGACTGACACACACGAGCGACTGCGACGCAAGTGGCAAGGCAAGAGGCTAATTTGGGCGCTGGAAACGGACTGCGCCCATAATTATTGACAGCGAATCAGGGCCGGGGCTAGACGGACAGAAAAAAGAGGGTTGGATACTGATTTTTACAGATTTAGAACTCACTTCAACTTGGCTAACACATCTGCTGGTATATCAATTTTGGTGGCCGCCCAAGATGCTGCGTGCCTGTGCAAATTAGAGCATTGAGTGGATAATATCCACTGGATATTGAACAGGTAACTGTCTAGCTGCTCACGCTAGAACTTCTTATCCTGCTGTAAACCGAGTTTGCTTCAGCGCGGGGATGGATTAGGCCTATTTGTGCAAGAGCATACCGAGTGTCCTGCGTTGTTTGTGCTTCGACTCCGGTGCTCGTACCGCAGTTCATTCCGCTTTCTCCAACTATAATTTCGGGCCTTGAGATGCGATCGTGCGAAAAGGCAAAGCAATGGCAGGCGGGGACTTGAGCATGGGCGGCTGCAAACATATCGCGATGCTTGATACCTCAAGCCATTACCCAAATTGCCGAGTGCACAATAGTATTATGTGCCCCAGACGAAGGTAGCTAACAATTTCCATGTTCAGCGGAGTAGAACCGTGAGGTCGGATCTCTATCCACAGTTACTAGTGTGTTGAGGGGGCTTTTGACTTGATGTACTAGCCACAACAGCGCTGCGCTGAGTGATCTGTGGCACATGCTCTTCTATCACTATGCTCACAATGTGGATACCGCTCAGCGTGGCATTCAGCGGCAACGAAACATGCTTTACGACGGCTTATCCGTGTGAAACAAGCTACACTAGCGAAACTGGAAGCTCTAGATCTGTTCCTCTATTTTGAATTCCAATGGCAATGAGAGCTGTTGGCCGCTGTTTCCACGACTGCGACACCATTAAAGTTAGATAGGGAAGAAATCACACAAGACAATCACTGCAGCACTGCGTGAGCCTTCTTGCAGAGCTGCAAGGACAGATACCACAGCACCGGGAAGGTACTCATCCTCTAAAACTTCAGAATCCTGTATAAACTTCGGTTTACAGTTACGTTGAATAATATCCTATAGTAAAATATTGCGCAGTAAACAGATCTTAGTGTATATATCCCACCTTCCACCTGTCATCATCTAAAACCCACTGTATCGTTATACACAGGTATCTCTCATCACGGGCGTCATCACGGCGTCAACGCCGCACCTTCCATCCCCACCACCACTCGCCATCATTCCGGCTCGCAGCCAAAGGAGAGAGAGAGAGAGCCCTTGGTCGATTGAGCCACTCGCCGCTACGATGCTCAAGCCCATGGGGAAGAAGCACATGGCGCACCCGCGGCTCGGGGACGAGTGGCGAGGCGTGAACGCGTCGAGCGCCTTGGCCTCCTCGGGGCCGAAACTGCCGGCGCACCTGCGGCCGCTGCTGGTGCCCAACGGGGCCGCGCTGCGGCTGCAGCTGCGCTACCAGAAGTACCAGGAGAAGGTGCGCGCGCTGCTCAAGAAGGCGGACGCGTCGCAGCAGCAGGAGCACGCGGCCAAGTCGGGCGCGCGCGCCGTGACGACGTCCAGCATGGCGCTGGCGGTGGCCATTCAGGCGCGCAAGGACGACAAGGAGCTGCTGGGCGCCGACCAGGCGGCGGGCAAGAGCACGCCGCTGCACCTCAAGCCGGAGCAGATTTCGGCTGACAAGTGGGGCGGCGCAGCGCTGGAGCAGGACTGGGCGGGGCTGCCCGCGGCCTCAGAGCAGCAGGAGATGCAGGTGATGGACGAGAGGCTCGTTGGCTCCAGTGGGGAGGAGGGAGAAGAGGGCGATGATGCAGAGGAGGGGGAGGAGGTTGAGCAGGTTCCGGTGGTGCTGGTCGAGCAGGCTGATGTGGATGGAGTGAAGGCTCACTTGATGCAGGACTGTGACGATGACGACGACGACGTGGACAGTGGACGCCAGCACGGCTTCGTGAACGTGATGGAGCCGTCGTGGCTGCTGGCATCCATTGAGCAGCGCTGCGCCGAGTCGGCGAGCTCGCTGATGACGCAGAGCTCCACCAAGCCGCAGCGGAGCTTGGCCCTGCAGCTGGCAGACGTTCGATTGGCGGTGCTGGACTTGTTGTTTATCTGCCGCTCGGGCGTTGGCGTGAACCTTCTGGGAAGACCTCCGTCCACGGTGGATACGCACCACCGGAATCTGGTGGCGAGGGTGAAGGAGGTGGCGAGTTTGAAGGAGGAGAGTGCTGCGGAGCTTAGTCCCGCGGATCTGAAGCGCGTGACGCGTATCTTCGACAGCCTCAAGTCGGACATGTTCATGCCGGCGGTGCGGTGTCTTGGCTGGCTGCTGACCAAGACCTGGCGCTTGTTGTTCAACGGCCTCCACGTGGATTTGGAGTCGCTGCACCACGTGCGTCGCGTGCTGGAGGCTTCGGAGGGCGACGTCAGCGTTGTGTTCGCGCCGACGCACAAGAGCCACCTGGACTACTTGATCATCAGCTACTTGTGCTTCGCGTACGGTATCCCGCTGCCGCGCATTGCGGCCGGAAACAACCTGGACCTGCCGCTCGTGGGCTCGTTCCTACGCGCCAACGGCAGCTTCTTCATCCGCCGCTCGTTCCGCAACGACAATCTGTACAAGGAAGTGCTGGAGCAGTACGTGCACGAGCTGCTGCACGATGGCAACCCCGTGGAGGTGTTCATCGAAGGAGGTCGGTCGCGCCACGGACGCGTGTGCAAGCCTCGTCTGGGCTTCATGGGCATGTTCCTGAAATACGTGAAGGGGACGTCACGCGCTGCGGGTGATGATGACGACGAAGACGACAACGCTGACAAGGCTTCGAAGAAGACGGTCTTGGTTGTCCCGATCTCGCTGGACTACGACAAGGTGTACGAGGTCGATGGATACGCGAACCAGCTTCTGGGCAAGCCCAAAGAGAAGGAGAGTCTGGCTGTGCTGTTCCGTTCCGTGTGGGACCTGTTTTTCCTGCGTCTCGGTCACTCCTACGTGCGTTTCGGTGAGCCGGTGCCTCTCACGGAGACTTCATCGCTGCAGGTCTCGTCCGATCTGGTGGCTGAGCGCATGCAGACCTCTGGTACCATCACGTCAACATCTATTGTCTCCGCTTTGCTCATGTGGAAGCGTGCGTACGTGACGAAGGAAATGCTGGAGGCTCGCACGGTGTGGTTGGTGGAGGAGTTGGAGAAGCGCGGCGCGACTGTGGCCCACGTGGAGAACGATGATATCGCTGCTCACGCTCTGTCGATCCTGAAGGTGGACACCAAGGCGAATAACGTCGTGGCCCCGCAGCTCCAGTACCCCGTGCGAGCACTCGAGCTGGGATTCTACCGCAACCACCTGCTCCACATTTTCCTGCCGGAGTTGGCGGTCATCGGTGCAGTGGACGCAGCTCTGCGTCAGCGTTCGAAGTGCGATGAAGGTTACTCAGCAAAGCACAAGCTGGATGTCTGGGCAGTTCAACAACATGCGCACAAGATCTGTCACTTCCTGCGCCACATTTGCCGCCACGAGGCCATTGATATCGAAGCCCGGATGACTCAATTCCTCGCTGAAGCCGCTGAGTGTGAGGTGGACGAGACTTCTGGCACTGTGACTGTGGACGTGACCCGCTGGAACACCTCGAAGCTCACGAGCTTCGTGCTGTCGCTGAACTGGCCGTTCATGGACTCGCTGTGGCTCACGACCCAAGGTCTTTGGAGCCTGTTGCCCGCTGGAGAAGGCGACGACAGCGAGCACACGGAGCGCGATGTCGTGCGGCGTGTGCAGGTCCTGGCAAAGGAATTGTTCCTGCGCCAGCAGCTCTCACACGCGGAGGCGCTCTGCAGCGAGAGCATCAAACAGTCGCTCGACTTCCTGGCGGAGAGTGGCGTGGTGCGCTACGAGCGTTCGCAGGACGGCAAGTCGCGCGTGGTGCGTCTCTGTTCAAACCGTGCTGATTCCGTGCGTGCCCTCGAGGACCTCACGCGTGAAGTCAACGGACGCCGGAAACCGCGCGCGTTCCTGTGGCGTGAAGACGAGCTGCCGCGCAACCTCACGCGCGAGGAGGCACTGGAGCTCATGGAGGGGGCCCAGAGCTCCCGCAGCATTTACGCCAAGTGGATGGCACCGCCGGCCGCGGCAACTACGGGCTAGGCATTGTATAAGTTAATCGTAATATTGCGTAACGAGCTGAGAAGAGAAGGCGGTTGTAAGCGCGATTCGCACAAGGGCAGTCGAGAAAAGAGCTTGCTGACATCAAGGGTTTTGAATTTATTGTGGAAACCGATTAGATTGTCTAATTGGGATATAAATCGGTTGATTAAGCAGATGATTAAGCTTAATCGGGTCTGATTTGCTAAATCCGACCTCCTAATTAGATCGACAGACTAAGATTTGTACTCTGATTTGACAGAGAGGTCAGTTGTGCCTACAACGCCATGTGGCAAGCTGATTTAGCTGCTAAACGGCATACAAAGCCCGGGACGGCTGATTTGCATGCTAATCAGCCCGAATGTCCGACACCCACACGGCATTCGGTGGCCGATTTAACGTAAAACCGACAAGCGCTAATGCTGACGAGAAATGACAGCGCAAATACATGACTTCAGAGCTTGATAAATAGAAAGCAGTACACATCGAAGCTCACAGAAGCGTATTTAATACACGCGATGCTATTTCTCGTGAGTAGGTACCGGTACGCGAATCACTCAGCTCGTGGCGGTAAGTGGTCGCTCGTCGTATTTCTGGCGGGTAATGAGGCAACCCCCATTTTATTAACCTTACACCGATTTATACCCTTACCAATGCCATATGAAATCACAAGGATCCCCGATTTAGTACCAGTCAAATCTCTCATGAACGCTGCTTTATCAGCTAATCCGCTCGGGCAATCTAATCGGTTTCCACAATACGTCCGCTACTGGTATTAATTGGGGACGAAGTCCCCGCTATAATCATGAGACTCCGTTTTATGGAGTTTTTACGTCTCTTATATACACTCCGCTTTACTTTTTACATTAATTCTGCGAATGGGTTAGGGTCACAATTTAGAATCGCTCACACCGGGACCAAAAATGAAAACAATACCTCGGTTAAACAACATTTGGATGCTTATCGGAAGGTGGTATCGGCACGGATTTTTTTAGCTGAATCGACGTCACTATCTTTAGATGCCATAAAACCAGAGGGTCGAAGTTATGAAACAGCAAATTCGACCATTAGTATGGAGGACATCAGAAATAGACTTAACCGTGACATTTTACCCTTATTTGGACCCGCTTAGGACCCTTTATTAAGCCTATTTGCCTTTCAAACCTTATGCTGTCGTAAGAAGGGTCGCTCTGCGGCCGTTGGTAAGAAGTCTGCGGCCCTTCGGGATCGCTTGACCAGCGCACAACAGAGAGTCCAAGCATCAACAAGCAGAGCCTCAAGGAAGCGCCAACGCTACGCCAAGTAGCAAGCAGCTTTGCATGCTGAGGACCGGGTACTGTCGAGCAGCAACTTCTCTAAATTACATTGAAGGCTATGCACGGATGACGAGCTGGACGATGAGCTGGGGTGTACGAGCCGGAGTCCGTGTCGGTGCTTCTTGGTAGCAACAATGGCTTTCTTTTGGCCCGTTCGAGCTCGCCTGCTACTTCGCTTTAAAAGAAATCAGACAGCTCCAAGTCCTTCCTGCACGCTAAAGGCGCCGATTATTTGCTCCTTTCTAGTCTGCGTTAATTCACTCATTCATTGCGTTGCTCATGAAAAGATGTTCGACTAAGCAAATGCATTAGCCCACTCAATTACAGTTCTGTTGGGTCGATCTCGGGCGTCACAGCTCTGCTTTGATACCCTACATGCATGTGTGATGGTACGATATCGGGCTCAACTACATTATTTTGAGCTAGTTATCGTTCATTATATATGTTTCCTTATTGCGCTCAACGTGCATGAGGTTATCTACCTACGCGTGCAGACTAAGTAAAATACAAGTGTTCTGGCATTCGAACCACAGGTCAGGTGTATCAGTCTACCGTTAATAACAACGTATGAATGGTACTTATGTTGTTTGCAAAATAGCCAGCAAATCGGGGAGCGTGAAAGGGGAAATAAAGCGCTAGAATTTGCAAGCGGCTTTGTACTTAAATTCCTCAAGTGGGGACGTCGTCCAAAACTCTGTGGTCAGCATAGTTTTGGGGGTCGACCCCTAAAGCAACATGAGCGCAGCGACCGTGATGCTCCGCTAGTAATATGAAATACTCAGGAGATATGCAGGACTAGCCACGACATCTTGACTGCATGGTGAACCTCTCCACGACGCAGTTACTCATTCCTGACGCCCCCCACCGATTCCTCAACCAGAAAATGCGCCTCGCAGAACTTGGTCAACGCTCGACCGAATGCATAATACTGCATCGTGGTCTCAGCCAGCGCCACATCGCCTCCTTCACGATGCTGAAGCTTCTTCGTCGACGCGCTGGCGTCGGCAACTACCGAATAGAACGAAGAGAGACAGTCCTCGCTCTCACTGTTGTCGATCTGTTCATGCACACGCTCAAGCCGTTTCCACAACGAGCCACACAACGAGAGCACTTGGTCGTGGTGCTCCGTGGCGCCTTGCAACCGAGCCACCTCCTCTTGAGCTGCGGAGATCATCTCGGAGACAGACACCTGGTTCATGACATCGATTGCCAAGGCCTCAGACAGAGGCACCGCGTCACTTGAGGTACCAGAGTTTGCCAGCATGGCCAGCTTGTCCACCACCGTCGATATCTTCAGCCGCTTCTGCGGCTCGAACGCACACATTTGCTCAACCAATTCCCATTGACTGTCGCTACACGTAGGTCGCCCAGGTAGCTTGCCGTGAGTAGCATGGTGTCTCACCGCGTATCGGTCCGCAACACGCCACGGAAGGCAAAGGCCAGAGTCTTCGCTAGCGTTTAGTGCCTCCACGACCCGCATGACTTCCACGATGCACATACCGAGAGAATAGACATCCGACGCGATGGTTGGGTTCGCTTGTCGCTGGGCTTCTCCTGCGTTGCTGGCCGAAAAACACTCGGGGGCCACCCAATGCCACGCACCTGAAATCGGAGCCGAGTATTCGCTGTTAGCGGCAGAGCTGAGACCGAAGTCCGTCACTTTTGCTTTGAAATCGCTGCCGATCACGATATTGTTCCCTTTTAGGTCTCCGTGCACCACTCCGCGTGCGTGGAGGTACTGAACTCCTAGCGCAGCCTCATGCAGCTTCGACCACAGCTCGCCAGGATGTTTTCGCAAGTAGTTCACCAACGTCCCGTTGGTAGCGTACTCGCAGACGAAGAACGGTCGTCCGACGTGACAGGCCCCGAAGAGCCGAATGACATGGGGATGGCTGAAGCCGAACCAAATGCCGACTTCGCGACGGAACATCTCGAGAGCTTTGCGTTTCTGATCAGGGTCCGTATCGGCTTTAGTAGCGTACGGGTCCTCTGACGCCGATAAACTCGACCAAGATTCTGAAGCATCCGCTCTGCCACCCGACCCTGGCAAAGTCACTCGTTTCACCACCACCTCCGAGTCCAGCCACTTCGCTCGGTGCACGCTCCCAAAGCCTCCTTCGCCCAGACAATTCCACTCGTCAACGATCAACTCGTACCAGGGGATGAACCACTCTGGAATGAGTTCCGACCAATCTTCCGTCTCCAACTTGCCGGTGATATCGTCATACACCTTCTTCATGAGATCCAGCTCGTCCGGTGTGTATTTTCCTAGAGGAGGATTTTCAATCTCGGCCTTCAACGTCTTCAGATATGCGAACCTTTCCTCCACCGTCTTTAATTTTTGCAGCAAAAGATAGGTGTCGGATAGTCCTGCCACACACGATCTGGTCTCGTCACGGCGCTGTTGTTGCCATCCTGATCCCGTCTGACTTTCCACCTCTCCACTTAGTGATGCCATGAGCGACTCGATGCGCCGCTGCAGCGCGTGAAAGCTAGTACCGGTGGCGTGCGTTGACGACAACCGCACCATCAGAGCTTGATCAGGCGACATTTTGATCGTCTGATAAAACTCGGTGATAAGCGCGTGGAATTGCTCCAGTAGGGCTGGACGGTGGGTTGACGCCCCCAGTCGTTCATGTAGGAGCTGTAGTTGGCCGAATGCCGCGCAATATTCGCTGTTGTCGCACTTCTGCATGTAGATTTCCAGCCTCAGCCACGATTCTTGAACTTTACCGAATGCGTATTCTTCACAAGAGAAAACCGGTTCCTGCTCCGGTTGGCAGGTGGTGGAATACTCCCTGGTAGCCAAATGCTCCAGTTTATAGACGACCGACGACAGACTTGCGCGTTTATGAGGGTCTTGACAGCACATTTCCCACACTAACTCGCGGACAGCATCGAGGGGGCAGTTGGGTGAGAAGTTGCTATAGCCTTCCTCCGGGGCCCACGATCCTTTACATTTCAATGCCCAAGCTTCACCGTCCCCACTCCAAGGTCTCTTCTTCGTCGAAGCTTCCAAAATGCACATTCCCAGAGAATACACATCGGATTCATACGCTGGCGACTCCCCTTTCACAACTTCTGGCGCCTGCCAGCGCGTCGAATTGACTCCTTCGCCCGATGTTACTCTGAAACGCTTGGCTGATCCACTCAGCCCAAAGTTCGACAGCTTTGCGTTGCAATCACTGCCGATCAAGATGTTACTGCACCGCAGATCGCCATGAACAAGGTCGCGCTCGTGGAGATACTCCAGCCCCAGCGCAGCCTCGTGTAAGTATCTCCACATCGCCGATTTCTCCACTGATGACGACTTGACATATTCTAGGAGTGAGCCCTGACTCGCGTACTCACACACAAAGAAGAGCAGGTCAAGGCCAACGTCACACGCACCGTACAGTTTGAGGACGTTGGGGTGGCGGAGCTGTTGCCACACACGAACCTCGTCATCGAACGTTGAGCGGGAGGCGTCTGACACGAACAGCTTCACGACCGCGTCGGCATCGAGCCACTTGGCCTGGAAGTCACCCCCGATAATGCCGTTCTGGCTGTAGTGGATGAGCTTGATTTCCGACGGGTGAATAGAGCAGTTTAGTGGAAGGCGAGTTACATCACCGACGATTGCCGCTGTATCGGTGGCGCGGGATTGAACTTCGCGTCGAATGAATGGCAAGAGTACTCGCTGGATTTCATGGTATCCCTTGTCAAAAGCGAGTCGGAGCGCGGCCATTCCATCGCTGCTGACAGCATTCGCATCGGCGTTGCAGTCCTTGACTAGATACTGGACCATTGCAGCATTGCCTGCTTGAGTGGCCTTCATCAAGGCTGTGTATCCGTGATTATCGTTGGCATTTACGTCAGCACCACTTTGTTCGGTGAGGTACTGAACGGTAGTTAGTTGGTTTTCTTCAGCAGCCACCATCAATACCGTGTTTCCATCATTATTCTTAGCGTCCACGTCAGCGCTGCATTCGCCAGCCAGGTACCGGACAAACTCGATGCGTCTATGTCGAACGGCCTCAATCAGCGCAGTATTTCCTTTGTTATCCTTCGCGTTCACGTCGGCGCCACATTGTCCTGCAAGATACCGCGCAACGTTCATCTGCCCACAATGAGTGGCCCTTATCAACGCGGTGTATCCGTCTGTGTTCTTCTCGTTCACATCAACGCCCCATTGCTCGACGAGATACATGACAATGTTCATGTTGCCGTATTGTGCGGCCATCGTCAGGGCAGTGTCTCCGCCATCACTCTTGGCGTTGACATCGGCGCCACACTGCTCTGCATGGTACCGGACAAACTCGATGCGGTGATATCGAGCGGCCCACATCAGCAATGTGTACCCATCTGTGCACTTGGTATTCACGTCAGCCTGACATTGCTCGACGAGATATCGAACAACCTCCATGTGGACATTTTCTGCGGCTCTTCTTAGTGCAGTCTTTCCGTATCGGTCGGTGGCATTCACATCAGCGCCACATTGCCCGGCAAGATACCTGACCAACTCGATGCGTCCACGTCCAGAGACTGACATCAGCACTGTGTCTCCGTATTCGTTCGTGGCATTTACATCAGCGCCGCATCGCTGAGCAAGATACTTCACAATGGCCAAGTGGTCATTGCCAGCAGCCTTCATCAAGGCAGTGTCTCCGTGTTTGTTCGTGGAGTTCACGTCAGCACCGCATCTGTCCGTCAGAAGCTGCACAACGTCCAGGTATCCATATTCAGCGGCCCACATCAATGCTGTGTATCCAGCACTGTTCGCGGAATTCACTTCAGCTCGACCTTCGCCAGCGAGGTAGCGCACAATGTCCATGCGGCGCTTTTCAGCGGCCAATATCAACGCAGTGTACCCCTCGTCGGTGACGGCATTGACATTGGCACCACATTGTTCCACAAGGTGCTGGATGACGTCCCTGTGGCCGTACTCAGCGGTCTTGATCAACGCAGTGTACCCGTCATTGCTTGTGGCATTCACCTCAGCTCCACACTGGTCGACTAGGCACCGTATGTCAGCCTCGCTCCCGTATTGAGCAGCCAATATCAATGCTGTGTAGCCGGCACTGTTCTTGGTGTTCACATTGGCGCCGCATTGCCCAGCAAGGTACCGAGCGACATCCATACGGCCGTTCCCAGCAGCACAAATCAACGCTGTGTCTTCACTATTGTTCTTGACGTTCACGTCTGCGCCGCAATGCTCTGCGAGGAACCGCACACTCCCGATGCGGCCTTTTCTAGCGGCACTTATCAGCGCGGTGTCCCCGTGGTTGCCTCTAGCGTCCACGTCTACATGGTTAGCAAGGTGCCCCACACTCCCAATGTGGCCATTTTCAGCTGCCCAAATCAATACGGTTTTTCCGTCGTTATCCCTGGCATTCGCGTCCGCACCACATTGATCGATAAGGTACCGGCTCAAATCGATATAACCGAATCGGCCAGTCCACACCAGTGCCGTGCGTCCGTCATTGTCCATGGCATTCACGTCAGCGCCACATTGCTCAGCAAGATACCGTACCCACTCACTCCTGCCACGTCGAGCCGACACTATCAACGCTGTGTCTCCGCTTCCGTCCTTGGCACTCACGTCAGCACCGCACTCATCAGCCAGGTACCGGACAACGTCGAAGTGGCAGTTTTCAGCGGCCCGAATTAATGCTGTGTACCCGAAGTCATCTTTCGCATTCACGCTGGCGCCACATTCACCGGACGACTTCGATGTGACCGTATTCAGCGGCCCCAATCAACGCGCGGCTTGTTGCATTCACGTCCGCTCTCCATTGTTCAGCCAAGTACCGGACGAGATCCAAGTGGCCATGTTGAGCGACCGACCGTAATACTGTAGAACAAGCTTGGGTTTTCACATCGGCGTCACATTTACCAGCAATGTAACGCAAAATCTCCACGTCGTCGATGTGGTCTGCTGCAAATGTCAAAGCCGTGCACCCATAATTGCCGACGACGTTGACATCGGCGTCACATTGCTCAGCGAGGTATCGGACAACATCCATGTGGCTATATCGAGCGGCCCTCATCAACGCTGTCCATCCGTTTGTGTCAGTTGCATTCACGTCAGCACCACATTGCGTAGTCAAACATCGCACGACATCCATACTTCCATGTTCAGCAGCTCGAATCAACGCATTGTTCAACGCATTTTTCTGGATATTCACGTCAGCACCGCATTGCTCAGCAAGGAATAAGACAACGGCGTGGTGGCCATTTTCAGCAGCCCGCATCAATGCTGTGTATCCGGCGTTTTTCACGGCATCCACTTCAGCGTCGCACTGCCCAGCGAGGTACCGGACAACGTTCAAGTGGCCCTTTCCAGCGGCCTCGATCAACGCGGTGCACCCATCCCATCCGATTAAATTCACGTCGGTGCCACATTGCTCGGCAAAGTACCGAACAACATCCTTGTGGCCCCCTCTCGCAGCCCAAAACAGCGCTGTGTTGCCATACTGGTCTTTGACATGCACATCAGCGCCGCATTGGTCAGCAAGATACCGAATCACGTCCGTGTGGCCATTCGTAGCGGATAATAGCAGCGCTGTTTCTCCTCTGTCGCTTTCTGCATTCACATCGGCCCCATATCTCTCAACAAGATACTGTACAACAGCCAGCCTCCCGTTCGCAGCGGCCTTCATCAACGCCGTCTCGCTTCCGTACCTAGTTGTAGCATTCGTATCCGCTCCACATTGCTCAGTTAGGTACCTGACAATATCTATGTGGCCCTCCGTTGCCGCCTTAAGCAACGCGGTGTCTCCGTCCTCGGTCTTAGTATCCACGTCCACTCCACACTGATCGGCGAGGTACTGCACGACATCCAAGTGGCCACTTTCAGCGGCCAATACCATTGCTGTGTCTTCGTTCCCATTCCTAGCAAGGTACCGGACAAGCTCAATCTTACCGTGCCAAGCGGCCTGTGCCAGCGCTGAATATCCATGACAGTCATTGGCGTTCACGTTCGCGTTGCATTGCTCAGCGAGGTACTTCACAACGGACATGTGGCCATTGCCAGCAGCCATAATCAAGGCGGTGTCTCCGTTCTTGTCTGCGGCATTCACGTCGGCGCCACCTTGCTCAACCAGGTACCGCACGACGTCCAAGTCGCCGTATCCAGCGGTCCGGATCAAGGCCTGGCTCGTGGCATCCACGTGAGCTCGACATTCGCCTGCGAGGTACCGCACAACCTCCACGTGGCGATTCGTAGCAGCCAAGCTCAGCGCTGTGTGGCCCCCTTTTGTGGCGGCATTTACGTTGGCGCCGCACTGCCCAACAAGGTGGCGGACAACGTCCACGCGGCCGCCCTCAGCAGCCGTCATCAACGCGGTGCGCCCTGAATAGACCGCGGCGTTCACCTCAATGGCGTATCGCTCCCCTAGGTGCCGGACGACGTCCAAGTGGCCACCTTGAGCAGCCAGCATCAACGCGGTGTACTCGCCGTAGTGAGCGGCATTGACGTCAGCGTCGCACTGCTCCGTGAGGTACCGCACGACGGCAAGGCGGCCGTTCCCGGCGGCTTTCCTCAGCGCCTCCTCCTTCTCGACGTTCGAGACCCGCCCCACCAGCCCCTGGACTCGCGCGAGGTCTCCCGCTCCTGCTGACGCGGTGAACTCCGCCTCCGCCCCCGTCTCCATCTGCGCTGGTCCGGCTTGCTGGCTGCGTTGCGAAACGAAGAGTGGGGGTGCTCGGGCCTCGGAGTGGCGTTGGTTGGGGCCAGAGCGACCTGCAGACGGGCGAGGCGAGCGGCGGAAGGTGTTGCGGCTTCGGCCAGAGCGCCACCTCCGCCCACTGAAGCTGTCACGCTTCTAAATGAGCAGGTGGTCAGCAGACACACAGCGCGGCCGGCTTGACGGCCGCAGGCGAAGGTCTTGCGGGTACAAACGCATGGGATATGGAAGCGGTATAGCTCCTTGTATTTGCTGCGCGGTGGATCGAAAGAACCGCGCACGGCAATTTTAAGTAGAACGCACAACGCTGCGGTGAACTTACAGAGAGAAACTAATATGTAGCGCAGCAAAGCTCTCCGGGTGCAATCCGATCACCGGGTGATCGAGTCGATCTAGGGCGTAATACCGCATCGTGGCCTCAGCTGGAAGCTGATAATGCATCCCAAATATGTGCCCAAATCGCCCCAAATGTCCCAAATAATGAATTGTCTCTGTAACATTTAGGTACATATTTGGGGCCAAGTATATGACTGCTTTCTCGTAAAACTATCCCAAATATGTACCAAAACGGAGTTGACTGATTATGGTCTATAGTCTATGGGCGAGGGCGAGCGGACGCGAGCGCGAGCCTCACTCGATGCATTCACCAATCGCCAACACCCGCCGATTAGGCGGGGGCGTGTCTGTGCGAGCGAGCGAACGCGAGTGCTGCAACCCGATATTTTTTTTCTAGACACCGCGCCTGGCCGAGACGAGGAACTTAGCATAAGGGACAAGGGGGTGGGGCAGGCCGCGCAGCGGCGCCCCCCCCGAGCGAAGCGAGAGAGCCCCCCCCCCCCCCCCGCAGACCCGTCGCTAAGTCCGCAGACGAGAGCCAACGCGCGAGTGTCCGCTGTGCTGCTCTTTCATACTGAAGGTTGTTCTGTCCTAAGGGCCTGGTCGGGGAATGATCGTCTCAGTCTCGCTCGTCTCCGGTAAGCCTACCCCTAAGGTGAACCGAGCCGATGTGGTCGGTTGGCTGGAGACCGTCTTAGTTTTGGTGTGTCAAGCTGCTCGACTCAGCGCTATCACACTCGAGAACTCGCAGCTATGGAAGGCACCCTTACTGCTCCACCTGTGGGCGGCGCTGAAGCTGAAGACGCTGCTGAGAGAAGCGTAAGCGGCACGGACCCCAACGGGAGCGGCGTCGAGAGAGCACCCCCGCATGGTGGAGGCCGTGGTGGTCGCGGGGCAGGTCGCGGTGGTCGTGGAGGACGAGGAGCTTCGATCAGGCCAGCTGCATCATGGAGCGATGATGATGTGAGCGAGTTCTTTCGCCTCCGTTACGCAGAGTTAGCTGACAACTTCAAGAACACGAAGGACACCAAGCGCATCAAATATGCGTGGGCCGTCTTAGCATCAACACTCTCTGTTAACCAGAGCAACGTGTTCACTGACCAGCAGTGTCAATCTAAGGTAAATATCTACAATGTGAAAATATCTATCGGAATGAGCCACTACTAAGTTATTAATCATGATGTGCGGTGAATATTTTTTTAAGGTGAAGAACATGAAGCAAAAGTAGGCGTCTGCGCGGGAAGCAGAAGGTCGAACTGGCAACGACGGACCCGTGCGGCGCCCAAATCACTACTCCATCATGAAAGACTACTGGGGTGATGCGACGGGGATGAACAACCGACCGCATCTTAGCACGGAGGACCCGGATACAATTGCTGCTGCTGGTGATGCTGCGAGCGCCGACGTCGCTGCCTTCGCCACGCCTGCCTCATCTCCCCCTCCTCAGTCTCCAACGCCCCGCACCATGTCTGGCTCCACTTGGTCGTCTAATAAGCGACAGAAGCGCACCCAGGGGGAGTGTGTGGAGGCGGGTTTGAGTGCGGTTGCTAAAGGGTTTAGCGAAGGGCTAGAAGCTTAGGGCCAAGGACTTGCTACAGTCTGAAATGGGGGTGCCGAAGACATTGCAGCTGCTGTGCAGCAACATACCGAGCTGTTCCGCGAGCAAAGTGAGCGGGCTCATGCCCACACCGAGCAACTCTTGTCGGAAATGCAAGCTCAGAGCGAGCGACTTCGAGTGCAGAATGAAACGATTCGAGAGCTACTGGATTTGATTCGCCGCGACTATTATAATCTAGTTACACACGTTTTCTAGACTAGCTCAAAAGCTTCGGTAAAAGCCAAAATGGACTCACGTTTTCTCGAACCAACATCTCTTAGAAAGCTTGCAGTCATCTCAGAGTTGTTCCCAGTTACAACAAAATCTTCCGTTATCGAAGTTCACCCGCGCGTCATCTTCATCTTCGAAAGAAGTGTCATCCTTCAAACCCAACAAAATGTTGTGGAGAACCATCGTTGCAGCCACAATATCCACAGCCTTCTCGACGCATTTGGTGTTAATGCAGCAGTTAACAATTCTGAAGCGACCTTTCCAGAGTCCAAAAGCACACTCGACTGTCATCCTAGTTCGGGAATGCAGATAATTGTAGCGTAGCTGCTTGCGTGTCAAACCGGCTCCATCACTTTCCATGAACGGCGTCATGATAGCCGGACTAATAGCATATCCTGCATCTCCTAAAAAGTGGGTCCCCGCTGGCAAAAAGTCTTTGAAGCTGGAGCCTAAAGTAGACGCACGCCATGTGTTTTGGTCAGACCACGAGCCCGGCCGAATCTCCACGCTAGTAAAGCACATTTTGTCGTCAACAACAGCCTGCACATTTAGCGCTGGGAACATCTTTCGACAATAGTATCCCTCAAAGTCCTCGGGCCTGTTAATCTCCACTAGAGAGCCGTCTATCGCGTCCACCACTCCTGGAATTCCACCTTTCGCTTCGAATTTACCTTGAACTCGGGTCCATTCATGAGCATGCCGCGGAAAATGAACGAACTTGCGCAGCGACCGGCGTAAAGCCTTGCGAAATATACCAATCACGTCGATAGCCCAGGACTTCGAAATTGCAAACGCAGCCGTAGTTTTCTCTATAGCCACCCTGCGAGCCGAGAAAAAAAAGAAAACAAGCAACCTTCTCCTCAAAAGAGTGCTCCTTCATAAATCGATCTAACTCAAAATCTTTCAGCTCCTGACGCAGAACACCACAAAGCCGTAGAAACGTAGCTTGGCTACACCTGAGATTCTGTCGAAACCACTCGTCGTATACCGCGTCGTAAAGCATAGCCTAAAACTCTAGCGGTGTCAGGGTAAGGATGTTCTGCTTTGGGTTCGAAATTGCCCACACAGCGGTGTGGACCGCCGTCGCGAGAGCTCCCGTGGCCGCAGCAACTGCAGCAACGATGCTTTCGCTCTGCACCATCGAAACGCAGTGAAGACGCTCGTCTCCAAAGTGAGACTGGTGATTTAGTCGTCTCAGATTGGTCAGTCTGGAGACGATGAACCTAGCCGATCGAGCTAATAACTGGCCAATCAAAAAGAAGAAAAAATGTCGCCACATCGTCTAAGACGATCGAAAGCCGAGACGAGCGTTCCCCGACCAGGCCCTAAATATGTACCAAAACGTTCCCATGGTCTTAAATCATTTGAAAAACTTTGGGATTTGGGGCGTTTTCGGGGTGCATTATCCAATACCTCTCACCTAGCGCCATGATTTCTTGCTTCCTGTCTTGAAGCTTCGCCGTGGACGAGTTGGCTTGGACAACAAGCGAGAAGAACGAAGCGCGGCATTCCTCACTCTTATCGTCATCGATCTGTTCATGCACCCGCTCAAGTCGTTTCCATAACGAAGAGCACAGCGAAATCACTTGATCATGTTGGTCTATGACGCCTTGCAATACGTCAGTCTCCTGCTGAGCTCCAGGGTTAGAAACTTCATTCGTCACATCCGCTGGCAGCATCGAGGTTTGGCTGAGGACATCAGAGCCCGCCAGCTCGTGGTAGATAACTTTTGTTTTCAATCCGTTGGGCTGGACCCTCGGTCGGGCTGCAGCAATCATGTCGGGGATAGTAACCTCATTCGTGGTATCCAGTGGCGAGGTGTCGGTCAAGGCCATCGCTTGGGTTTTGACGCCGGAGTTCGCCAGTCTGCCACCACAGTCGAGATTTTAATCCGCTCCTTCGGATTCAACTTACACATCCTCTTAACACATTTCCATTGACTGTCGCTGCACAAAGGCCGCGCCGGCAAGTTGCCTTGATTAGCATTGTGTATCACCACAATTCTGTCAGGAACGCGCCATGGCAGACAAATGCGCGAGCCGTCACCGGCTTTCACAGCCTCAACCACGCGCAGTGCTTCCACGACGCACATACCCAGCGAATAGATATCCGACGCAAAGGATGGTCTTGCCTGCTGCCCTGCCTTGTCGTCTGGAAAGCACTCGGGGGCCACCCAAAGCCACGCACCGGAAATCTGAGCCGTGTCTTCACTGCTAACGGCGGAGCTGAGACCGAAGTCCGTCACCTTCGATTTGAAGTCGCTCCCAACCACGATGTTGTTTCCCTTCAGGTCTCCGTGCACCACATCACGTGCGTGGAGGTATTGGACTCCCAGCGCAGCCTCGTGCAGCTTCGACCACAGCTCGTCAGGATGGTCTTGAAATTAGCTGACCAACGTCCCGTTTGTAGCGTCGTCCGACATGACAGGCGCCAAAGAGCCGAACGACGTGAGGATGGCCGAAGCTGAACCAAATGTCGACTTCGCGACGGAACATCACTAGAGCTTCGCTTCTGCGGACTGCGTCCATATGAGCTTCAGTAGCCGACAGACCTTCCGACGCCAATAAACTCCAAGACGTTGTCGATACATCCGATTTGCCACCCGGACCTGGCGACGTTATGCGTTTCACCACCACCTCTGAGTCCAGCCACTTGGCTCGATTCACACTCCCGAAGCTGCCTTCACCCAGACAACCCGCAAAATGCTAAAGCCACGAGACAGAAGTTCTAGAGACCCGTGACATTACCAATAAGTACCACTAATCTGGTACATCCAATCTGATGCAGTACTAGGTATCTGGTTCAAACCAGAGGTCGGAAAATATAATATCATACCTTGTATTTTAGTTTTGGAGTCTCAGTAATACAGTAATCTGCCCGGGTAAGGAACGCCTGATATATATAAAGACGCAGAATACATAAATTGATGTTATGTTGAGTATACTTTTCCAATGTACTAATTTAGTAATTTCAAAATGAACTGAAGAGCAGCTTTACCTACGAGTCCGGAATGATTCCAACAGTGGCGTATGGTCGAAGCACAACCTTTGACCAGGCATCCTCGCACCACAACAGCGCTGTCAACTGGTAGACCTCGTAGGGATTATCTAGCCCTTCACCTTGTCGAGGATGCCCACTTTCTCAGACCAAATGAGGCGGAGACGCTTGGACGGTGTGGACTTCATGGGTGGAGTGGGGGAGGAGGTGGGCTTGTGGGGTGAGGTGCAAAAGAAAAAGTGCGAGTCTACCACTACGATACATGTAGTTTGAAGTCTAGTAAGATCGCTAAATGCGCGCCATTTTTCAAACGAGGGTGGATGATTGGCACTGGATTTTTCACCTCAGTACCTTGCAGTACCTTGCACATCCCCCTATCGCCACATCGACTGGAAAATAATATTAAATATGTGAGGCTATTAGTTATACACCCGTTCCTTATTCGGGCAGAATTCTGTAATCATTAAAATATCATACCTTGTATTTTAGTTTTGGAGTCTCAGTAATAATCATTGCAATATAGGGTCAGCCAATCACACAGTATTTTCACAATTATTGGCAATAAATATGTAGGATTCCGTGCTGCTGCGCCTGCACTCGCTCGCTGCGTTGCGACGCTTCCTCCCTCGTCATCACGCTGCATTGCATCCACTGCGTCTTGCGCCTCCCGCAGCGCCAGTGGAACCCCCAGCGATGGCTCGCAGCCGCCAGTGCACGTCCCCGACCTGCTCCACGAGACTGTCGCCGCCTTCTCTCGCAACCTCTCGGAGCCTCGCCACGTCGTCGACGGCACCGCGACGGTCCTCAATGACGGACCTTTGGACATGAGGTTCAACCAGCGAGACCCCGAGGCGATGACGGCGGCGGACGCAGTGAACAAACTGTCGGAGGTGCAGCTGCGATGTCGTGCGGCGTGTGCAGGTCCTGGCAAAGGAATTGTTCCTGCGCCAGCAGCTCTCACACGCGGAGGCGCTCTGCAGCGAGAGCATCAAACAGTCGCTCGACTTCCTGGCGGAGAGTGGCGTGGTGCGCTACGAGCGTTCGCAGGACGGCAAGTCGCGCGTGGTGCGTCTCTGTTCAAACCGTGCTGATTCCGTGCGTGCCCTCGAGGACCTCACGCGTGAAGTCAACGGACGCCGGAAACCGCGCGCGTTCCTGTGGCGTGAAGACGAGCTGCCGCGCAACCTCACGCGCGAGGAGGCACTGGAGCTCATAGAGGGGGCCCAGAGCTCCCGCAGCATTTTCGCCAAGTGGATGGCACCGCCGGCCGCGACGTCTACGACCTAGACATTGTATAAGTTAATCGTAATATTGCGTGAAAAGCTCAAGAGAAGGCGTTGTAAGCGGACGGCAGTCGAGAAAACAGTTGAAAACCCATGCTGACATCGACACTATTGACATTGTACTGGCGTCCCCTATCGATAATATGAAATACTAACGAGATATGCAGCGCTCAACGATGACATCTTGACTACTTGGTGGATTTCTCCACCGTGCAGTTAATTATTCCTGACGCCCCCCGCCGATTCCTCTTTCATATCGACTACAAGTAGAAATTGGGCTTCGCAGAACTTGGTCAACGCTCGATCTAACGCATAGTACCGCATCGTGGTCTCAGCCAGCGCCACCACGCCTTCTTCACGGTGCTTGAGCTTCGCCGTAGACGCGCTGGCGTCGGCAACTAACGAATAGAACGAAGAGAGACAATCCTCGCGGTCAGTGTCTGCGCTCTGTGCATGAACGCGCTCAAGCCGTTTCCACAATGAATCGCACAGCGACAGCAGTTGATCATGGTGATCCGTGGTGCCTTGCAGCCGAGCCACTTCCTCCTGAGCTGCAGAGATCATCTCGGGGACTGAAACCTGGCTCGTGACATCTTCTGCTAAGGCCTCTGACACAGATATGGCGTCACTTGAGGTGCCAGGATTTGCCAGGACCATTGCCTTCCGTGGCGTGTTGCGGACCGATACGCGGTGAGACACCATGCTACTCACGGCACGCTACCTGGCCGGCCTGCGTGTAGCGACAGTCAATGGGATTTGGTTGTACAAATGTGTGCGTTCGAACCGCAGAAGCGGCTGAAGATATCGACGGTGGTGGACAAGCTGGCTAGCGTTTAGTGCCTCCACGACCCGCATGGCTTCCACGATGCACATACCAGAGAATAGACATCCGACGCGATGGTTGGGTTCGCTTGTCGCTGGGCTTCTCCTGCGTTGCTGGCCAAAAAACACTCGGGGGCCACCCAATGCCACGCACCTGAAATCGGAGCCGAGTATTCGCTGTTAGCGGCAGAGCTGAGACCGAAGTCCGTCACTTTTGCTTTGAAATCGCTGCCGATCACGATATTGTTCCCTTTTAGGTCTCCGTGCACCACTCCGCGTGCGTGGAGGTACTGAACTCCTAGCGCAGCCTCATGCAGCTTCGACCACAGCTCGCCAGGATGCTTTCGCAAGTAGTTCACCAACGTCCCGTTGGTAGCGTACTCGCAGACGAAGAACGGTCGTCCGACGTGACAGGCCCCGAAGAGCCGAATGACATGGGGATGGCTGAAGCCGAACCAAATGCCGACTTCGCGACGGAACATCTCGAGAGCTTTGCGTTTCTGATCAGGGTCCGTATCGGCTTTAGTAGCGTACGGGTCCTCTGACGCCGATAAACTCGACCAAGATTCTGAAGCATCCGCTCTGCCACCCGACCCTGGCAAAGTCACTCGTTTCACCACCACCTCCGAGTCCAGCCACTTCGCTCGGTGCACGCTCCCAAAGCCTCCTTCGCCCAGACAATTCCACTCGTCAACGATCAACTCGTACCAGGGGATGAACCACTCTGGAATGAGTTCCGACCAATCTTCCGTCTCCAACTTGCCGGTGATATCGTCATACACCTTCTTCATGAGATCCAGCTCGTCCGGTGTGTATTTTCCTAGAGGAGGATTTTCAATCTCGGCCTTCAACGTCTTCAGATATGCGAACCTTTCCTCCACCGTCTTTAATTTTTGCAGCAAAAGATAGGTGTCGGATAGTCCTGCCACACACGATCTGGTCTCGTCACGGCGCTGTTGTTGCCATCCTGATCCCGTCTGACTTTCCACCTCTCCACTTAGTGATGCCATGAGCGACTCGATGCGCCGCTGCAGCGCGTGAAAGCTAGTACTGGTGGCGCGCGTTGACGACAAGCGCATCATCTTAGCTTGATCAGGCAACATCTTGACCGTTCGATACAACTCGGTGACAAGCGCGTGAAAACGCCTCAGCCGCGCTGGAGGGTGAGCAGATACTCGTAGGTACTCACGTGGCAGTTTGAGTTGGTCGAATGCACGGCAGTATAGGGTGTTCGTGCACGTCAGCATATATGTTTCTAGGCGCTCCCATGCTTCTTGAACTCCACCATACTCGTATTCTTCAAATGAGCAAAGCCGTTCCAGTTCGGGTTGGGACGTACTGGGATACTCCTTCGTAGCCAAACATTCGAGTTCGCAGACGACCGACGACAGACTTGCGCGCTTGTGGCGGTCGTGAGAGCACATTTTCCACACTAAGTCACAAGTTTCGTCATCAGGACACTCAGGTGACCTGTAGTCACTGTTTCTACCTTCTGGGGTCCACTGGTTTTTTTTGTACGACTTCACATCATCCTCGCTACATTGGTCAAAGCGGAGAAGAAGAAGCGATCAAAGTCCAAGTACTTCAACCAAACCGCGGACGACAATCATCCGAAGAGCACTACCGAGGAGATCATCGCCTACTTCCCCGGAGGAACCCCGCAGTTCACCAGGTTTGTAGTCACCAAGTTGCTCATTATGTTGTACTATGCGGTGCTCACAATGTTGCTTGTTATGTTGTTATGCTTTGTGTTGATGTTTGGTACTGCTCAACACCACAATATACAGGATGAGCGAGTTTTACAACGTTGTCCGCAAGCTTGATGCGTGGAAGGAGGATGTGCATTGGCTACTGTCGACTAAATGGGACGCAATGACGGACAATCCTGAGCTTTTCGACGTGGAAACGGACTCGGACGAGCTCACAGATGACACCACAGGGGCCAAGCACGTGGCCCTGGCAAACGAAGTGCTGGAGCAGCTTGAAGTTTTTGATGAAGTAGATGTCAGGAAATGCTTTGTAATACCGGTAGGTAGTATCACGGCGACATGCGTACTGGTACTGAGTGAAGATCTGCTTGCAGGCGTGCTCGCTCACACTGTTGGCCACGACAGACATCTCGCGATCATACTCCGGATTATGAACGGTCGACACTTTAAAAACGCGAGAGAGGAAACTTTTTTGTTGTAGACTTTGGTAGTACATGATGGATGCAATATATCCATGAAAGAATCCACCCAATCTTTTAGTTGTTTCCACGACGACTCAAGCCGATTGTTTGTGTTGTTGCCCAACGTAACACAGTTCTGGCGTTTGTAGGCGCACCACAGCTCTCGGCAGTTATCCCAATTCCGTTTGAAATACTCTTCAAACGGATGAGTACAAGAATCATCGACCGCATTTGCACTTCGCTGCATGTGTTCGTCGGAAACCACGTCTTGATCATCAAGTACGTCCTCCAATGCAGCATCACGGCTTCGGTTCTGAGCCAAACCGGTACTCTCGGACTGGCCATCAGTACTCGTGCTAGTAGTTGCTGGAAGCGCCGCCGCAACTGTGCACCGGCCAATTTTCAAGAGGTACCGCATGTATCTCCGATACTTCTCGTACTCTAGTTCCGTCCTAGCGTACACCAGAAGACTCATTGTACAGCGCAGTTGCTCTCTTTGCCACGAGTAGAGCCCGTAGTCAGCAGAACCAATTTCCTCACGAAGATACTTGAGCACGTGAAACTGGCACAACAGGAGAGTAGCGTCGGGAAATGCAGTCTTCAGAACGGACATTTCCGTAAAATCTTTGTCGATCAGAATACACTGGATTTTAACCCAACCTGGGTTATTCTTCTTGAACTCTTCAATGGCAGTCAGAAGCGTCGGACGCCGCTCATTCTGGATAAGAGCGTGCTGGACAAATTGTCCATGGCCGAAAGCATCGTGGGCCATGAACGAAAACATCTTATACGTTTCGGCATTGGTACCGTGGGTGGTATCGATCAAAATCACTTCCGGAAACTGGTCAAATACTGCTCGCATTTGTTTGGTTTGAAGTGTGATACAAGTTGCAACAGCCTGAAAAAATATAAACGCAGACGTTGTTAAAATTAAGCATATTCTCCGTTTCATTAGGGCATGCGCGTACCTTTTCACCAGACCTATCGATAAAGATGCGGCCAACATTTCCGTCCGCTTCTCCAAACTCAGCCATCCAAGCCTTCAGCCGTTGAGCACTTGTCGTCCGACCTAAAGCGTTCTCTCGCTTCTTCAGCCTGTGCACGAGGTTGTGCACGTCGCGGTTGGTGGGCTTGCAGTCAGTGTTATCGAGGATGTTTTTGCGAATGCCAGATTTCTTTGCGCCAGCCTTTCGTAACACATCTACCGTTTGGAGAACGGCGGGTGCGATGGCTGTCCGGACCGACGCATACTGATCATACAGCTCCTTCGTCAGTTTGTGGTTGTGCACTAAAGACTTTGTAGTAACTTGAACAGCGAGCGTTTCCCCATCCACAACTCTAACACACGCGTTGATCTAACCAAACCAATACAACACGAAATCCCGTTAAAACAGAACTAGGACATCCAAAGCTAGAATAGTATTAATAACTCTAAACATATAACACACTGATGCCATCAGCGCCCAACTGTTACCACCAGCGCCCGACCAGTCCCACCAGTGCCCAACCAGCTGCCACAGTGCCCGACCAGCCGCTGCGGTGCCCGACGGATGCATGTAGAACCCGACCGGCGCTAGTGGTGCCCGCTAGACCGAATGGCAGCATAATGGATAGCATACACTTAAAAAAAATACAATTATTACCTGTGCTGTGCATCCCGTCTGCCTTGATTCCTGCCGTAGTCACTTTCCTTGCCCGCGAGACTTGAACTCACCACTGTGTGTACAGACAAGAGTCTTCGCGTAGAAGCCAAAACTGTCAGGTATGGGTGTACCAGACCCGGTTTTGGACTTTTTTTATCTTTGCGTTGCGCTCGGCGGCCGATGTGTTGGTTCTGATGCGGAAAATCTACTGGCACATATCGCAGTTAGACCATCGCTTTCATGTATTGTAGATACAATGCAAGAACTTGCTTGATAGGACCGAGACTGATACTCATTGATGTACACCTCGAACGCTTTCCAGGAACTGAACTGGGTCTCCTCCAGTGGGGGTCCTGTGTCGCCGTGTGAGCTACTTAGATCATGACTCGGGTCTAACGTAACGACGCGGTCCGAGAGAGAGCATCCTGTCGCGTCGTCAGCATCAAGGTCAGCTTCGGCGTCATTTGGCGCCCCGGGTGGCCGTCGCTTTTTCCCCAGAACACAAGCAGCCATGCTTGCACGGCGAGGGGGGGGGGTCAAATGCTTGAGCCCGCTGCAGATTTATGAATGGGTGGTTGGAGATAGAAAGTATACCGTATACGAAGTTCGGATAGATCTCAAAACCGCGGTTAGGGTACTGGAGCGGACGATTCAAAAGAGGCAGGTGTTGGAGGCCAGGATTATAGTAATGGACACGTCCATGACGATGTACAGGATTAATCCTGGACGAGCGATTCCTAGCTAAAGTGAGTACCATCTGAGGAAGATTGGAGAAGATACGTTGAGGACGCGGAAGATACCCTTCGTGTGGTTCTCCTTTCTTTGCAGAATTACTGCAAGAGAAATCATGGGCAAATACTGGTTTGATACTTGGAAAATAGAGTGACTGCCGTCATCCCAATCGTTACGTCTCAATGAGCAGAGCTCTAAGGAAGCTGGAGCAAAGCTTACATGTATTAATTGTGGCGATAGTGCTAAGCTTTGAGAAACCTCTAGGGCACGTGGTCATGGCACTAGCTTTTGCGCGAGCTCTGACGGCTGAAGTTCCTCGTCATCGATGTAGGCATGTTCGGACGGTGGGGGTATCTTTTCCTCGGTGTCGTCGTGTTCCATGCGATCCGGTATCATTAAACCCTGCAGAGGTAGAAGTTGACCGGATAGCAAATAGTAGAGCAACTCGAATCGGCGTCTTGTCAGAGAGGTGTTGCTCATGTCCAGTTGTCTCCCACCGACGATCTGGTGGATAAACATCCAGCAGACGTATACACCACAGCTAAACGTGTCAAATTGGATTGGCCTACACTGAGCGAGGACAGTGTAATCTTGCAGGCCTCGAATTTTCAGCTGCGTGGCAGCAGCCTTCGCTGTATTCATGAAGGAAACTTGGTTCAGCGGATCGTAGTAAAGTATACACTTCTCCGTCACCTTGATAATCACACAGCACCAGTGTGCCTTCGGAAAATTCAACGGCAGCAGCACGACGTCTACCCCAAATGCATGGACTTACTGTAGAACACGCGCGTGGATCGAAACATCGATTAGGTCCGCGTCACTGCGTCTCATGCGAGTTTTGCTTGGAATAGCTGACTGAAATCCAGCAAATCTACAAGTAGGAAAGTCATCCTGTAGTCGATGGCATAACGCCGCGATTGATGCATCACAAAGCCACATGGGTGGTGTCGCTCTGTAAGGCATAGCGTATTCAAAGTCAGGAAAATTGGGGAGGCCGTCGATTTGCTTGCGCGGATACGCAGATAACACGTCAGCTGCAACTTTGTTCGCCAAGGCGTGATATTTAGCAGGCAATGAGGGCAGTCCCTTTCCGATGAGCCACTTGTGCATGTCCACTCCGGGTTGCACCGATTCCTTCAGATCTTGCTTTCTTGAACATCTCGATCTGCATGCGTGAAAAATTCCCGACGTCTTTGATCTGAACCGTATCAATAAAGCCGTCTCCGTTTTCCTTGCTACGAGGTTTGGTGTCAGTTTCCAAGCTAACGTCCACGGCTATGGCGGTGTCTTTAGTGTTAGAGAGTGGGAGCACCTTTAAACAGGATTCTACCAGCTTTGAGGGGAGAATGTAGAACGCGGCCATGATGAGTACGGGATTTTTCATGCGTTTGAATTTCGGTTTCTTGGTAGCCGCCTCGCTGTACTTGACAATGATCCCGGACAGACGCAGGTGAGTTTCTACAAGAGTTGGGCGCTCACGATCCAGCGCAGACAGCAACCCCACTAATGTAACTTCTCCTGCACACTTACGCCCCGCTTCAGCGGCTTCGAACCATTTTCGATCACCTTTCTCACCAGCCGCCGTTGTGGATTTCAGTTTTCGTGGTGCCCCTACCTTCCTGGCCTTGGGATTCAGTCGTACGTGCACAGAGCTAAATCCAGTCACATCACAACTCGATGACCTATTCTCCACTTCTAGACACTGATCGGATTCTTCGCTTGAACTAATTTCGAATTCGCGTTTGGCTTCCGCATCCTCATCTATTGCGTTTTGGTGGTGGTCAAACGTGAGGACTGGAAACCGCATCGACGCACAATTGCTCGAAATCGGCGATTTTACGCTGGCGTACGTTGCGCCATTGGTTTAGCACGAACTGCAGCATCTCCTCAAACTCGCTTTCATCATCAATATCTGCCATCTCAGTTGCGATCAGATGTGTGGCCCTCACAGCCTCTCTGTAGCGCTCCGCGTGCGTCTTCACTCTTTGCTCGCGGCGACCCGAGTTGGCATCTTTGAACTTCTCATAGGAGAACTGTCTGACCTTCTCCAGTTTCCGGTCTGAGTTCATCCACCTGCAAGTGCAATTGGCTGATGAGTTTTTAGGATATATTATTATCGTGATGTCAGTCTGATCGTACCTCTTGTCGATACGGCTCCAGGGATTTAGCGGGCCAGCTAAATTTTTGCTCTTGCGATACGCAATAGCGACACGGAAGGCGCATTGATAACGAGAACCCACAATCACATCTCCAGTCGTCCGTTCTAAGCCTATACTCAGAAGAGATGCCGTACACGACGACTAGACTCGGGTCGCCGTGATCTTTACGAAACGTGTAATTTGAAACATTGTCCAATGCACGAGCGTACTGCTATTCAATCTGCTTGGCTACATAGTGGGTAGTAAAGCGAAGCACATTGGACATCTCTTCGTCATAGTTGCTGTTCACGAACTGGCCAATTCGAGATAGCCGAAACTGATATTCGTTCTGCATTCGACGGTCATACGCGACCAAAGCTTTCATGCACATAGACATACTCAGGGAGCTGCCTAATCCATCCTTAAACTTTCCAAAAAGCTTTCAAGGCGATTATTGGTGTGGTTGTTCAAGTGTGGCAGATCTGCGCGTCGATACATCACCCAACGATCTTGGCACGAATCCCAATTTTACTCGAAGTACTCGAAAAAAACCGTCAGACCGATTCTTTCACACAAGCCCTTCAGTGTTTTGTGCGTAGCCTTGTAGTGGGTGGGCTCTCTTAAAGTGGGCGATAGCTTTCTCCATGTGCCAATCTCCATTCGCCTCGAGCAGCGACTGCTGCACCACAGCGCCTTCGCCGAACTCGTTCATGGCCATGAAAGTAAGGAGCTGGTAGTTGTAGCTAAGACGTCAATGGCAGGTAAGGCACGTTATAAATCATTGTTACATAGTCTCAGTAGAGAGACAAATCCACGTACCGATTCGTTTTGTGGCTGCAATCAACTAGCAGCACTTCGCTAAATCGGCCATATACACGGCGCATGTGTGCACTCGCCAGCGATATAACACCCGTTTTACCTGCATCAGTATCTGCAATAGATGCAACGTTCTCTGGATCAGCTGCTGCGAAAGTCGCGACTTCTCTCGCGGTAGCTTCGTTATCGTCAACACTTGACACCGACGATTTATGCTCACGCACTATGTTATCCACATCAACTTGGATGACATTCTGATCGTGTTCCAGAAGATAGTCGTAGATTCGAGCGCGTTTTGCACCTACGGTCAACATACCTTCCACACGTGCTTCTACAAGTGGATTGCCAACTCCACGAGAAATCGGATACGTCGCGTAGGCAGCAGCCGATACCGGGTGATTGTGGGTAAAGCATCCAAGCTTTACTTGCAGCTTGCCCCTTGACAAATTCCACTGTACCACGAATCTAAACGGGCAATTCGTCAACCGTATGTGCTGCTTTGGACGACTACCTTCACTGCGTGACTTCCTCTTTTTCCAACCGTGGGTGCAAATGTAAGTCCGCTGATACGGGTCAAACGCCTCGGGGAGCAACAGGGAGTCATCGTTTTCTTTCATAGAGACTTCTTTTCCTTTCTTAGTACACTTTAAGCGCTTGATACGCTCTGCACGAGACAGGGTCTCTTTCACGGGCAACACTTGCTTAGTGCGCTCGCAGTACTCAGCCAAATAGATCTTCCATGCAGCCCAGTCTGTGTGCCAGAGCAAAGGAGGCTCCACGCTTACAGAGATTGCCGCACTGTCGTCCCCGCCGTGTTCTTCGTGGCCGTCACCATCGCGGCTAGACGCACACCCCACTAGCAGGACCCCAGTAGCCCCCGCAGCATCGTACTCATCATCGCCATCACTGCCCACAGAGTTACCCATGATCGGAGCTTGCTCTTTGTCGTGCTCTCTCTTCTCCTCACACCCTTCTCCGTCGTCGAGCGTGCTCTTGGTCGCGTCTGAAGTTGGCGTCATACAGAGCCCCGGACCCCGGTATGAGCGTCGTTGCTCTCGCCTTCCAGTATCCTGTTTCGCTTCACCTTGGCCTTCGCAGTAGGCCTCACTGCCTTGGCCGCTTCCGCGTGCGTTGCTCGGCATCTTCACGGGGAACCTCCGATTGGGAAACGCCGACTCCTCAGAACGAGAATCAATCGCATTCGCCTCCTCCGCGAGCGTCGCAAGTGCTAAATTGGTCGCGCTGTTTCTCCCTCATTCGGTAAGAAATGTTTCTTACCAATCCTGGACAAAATCATGTTTTCCGATCATGTACGTTTCCATGATTAAAATTATGGCCTCCAACGGCGCCGTTCAAAAGATGACGCCAGTAGACGGGTGCACCAACCACTCTCATTAAAATTAGCTTCCGCTGAGCTATCCAAAAGTGGTAGGACTGATCTTCGGATTGGATGGAGTTCATATTAGGGGAAATAGGAGTGTAGAAGGGATTTTATTAGAACTACTATGATAGCCATTAAAATCCTAAAGAAGATTTCATCATCACCACTAATGGCGATTCTCTTGGTAGCTGCATGCTGCATACCCGTACTTGTCCTGGTTGTTCAAGGATTAATAGAAAACTGTCAGTACAGTCCTCCATCAACTTGCCTTGCTCAACCGTTTGGGGACTCATCTTGTCCCTCCTTGCTATTGCCTTCAACTGACGAACTCCCGTCACCCGGAACTCGACGCAACTTTGCTCTACCGATGTTGGTTCTCATATTAGGGAAAATAGGATACTTACAGTATGGATGGATTTGACAGGCAATACGGAACTATATTACTGGGATAGGAAGCAACGTTAGCGCTGCTATCGGCGATAGGCCCCTGACACTTAACGGATACGCTTCTAAAAAGTCCCGATGCCACACTGGACTCTCAAGCTGCACAATAGCACTGACGAACAAAGGAGGGCATTTGCATATTCTACAAGCTACAAAACAAATCTCAAGCAAAATTCGTTTTTTTCATCAGTTTCTCTTTTGTCTTGCTTGATCACTCTACCGAACTTGCTATGCCTACATCCATGTATCTGCATGTTGGGCCCATGGACGATGATAATAATCAACAACGGATACATAACGAATCCCTACTAGAGGCGAAGCTTTGGTCTGGGAGGACAGTGTAGACTTCCTTTGTGTGCAAACCTGGGGTAGGCAAGAAATTGTAACATGAAAATTGGTGGCAAGTTTTCAAACCCTAGTGTAGCGCCTTCCTGGCAAAAAATGGCGACGTTGCCGTGCAAAATACACGAATGAAGTTAATGGCGCGCTCGGCCGGGGGCAAAGCCCCCGGCCGAGCGCGTTGACGTCATTCATTCCAGCTATACAAATTTACACAAGAAGGATTCATAGGGGTTAATCAATTTAGAGCGGGGCAAAACGAAGCCAAAGCCATTGGCGCGAACAGACGCAGGAAAAAGAGCAATCTTTAGTTGTTATTTTCATGATTTTGAGTAAATGTTAGCTTATAAGGAGATGTAGCTATCCTAGTTATGATTTTCCAAAACAATTTCATAAATTCAAGAACTGCTCCCTACAGTGTGTGATACACACTACGGATACAGTCGACATTCTGGAAACAACCAGCCACGAAATGTACAAACGTTGTGATGTTACGGTAGCCATAATCTGTGGACTATGGACTCAGGCGACATTTGCCAATTAATTTTGTTTTTTGGGGGGGGGGCTCCCGGCCGCTGAAATAAAATTGGTTAGGCTGTTCAGCCAGCTAAAGCTGCCCCCCAACAAGCGAGCCCGTCCACGACGAGGACGACGAAGACTCG